TTTAACCTTCTAACACATGTTCATGTTGTTTATGTATTGTATAGGAGGATGGAAACTTATGCTCAAGAGGTGTGTGGGGCAACGAGAGCCATACGGGAGCCGAGAGTTGTGGTCCAAACGACAAGTGATGTGGACATTCTTGACGATGGGTATCGTTGGCGTAAGTATGGTCAAAAGGTCGTGAAGGGAAACCCAAATCCAAGGTTCGTCTTCTTTTTTTTTTGTTGCTCAATACTGTAAATCATTAAAGGCAAAATTGCATTTTTAGTACTGTTGGTTTAAAGCCATATCAATTTTAGTCTCAAAGTTCCAACATTTCGTCTTTTAGTCCTGCGATTTAATATTTGACACAATGGAATTTCAACAAATTCCCAAATTCAGAGATTTTCGATTAGCAAGTTAAGTCCTGTAATTTGAATTTTGTTGCAATTTTAGTCCTGTAATTTAAAGTTTTGTTGCAATTTCAGTATTAAAGGAAATTGTAGCAAAATATTAAATCACAAGACTTAAAATGCAAAAAGTTGGAACATTGGGACTAAAATTGCTATGGTGTTAAACCAACAAGACTAAAAAATGCATTTTTGCCATCATTAAAACTTAAAACACTATACTATGAAATGTGACTGGTCTTTCCAATTGCAGGAGCTACTACAAGTGCACTAGCCCGGGGTGTAACGTCCGTAAACATGTGGAACGGGCTTCTCACGACCTCAAATCAGTAATAACGACGTACGAGGGCAAGCACAACCACAATGTCCCTACAGCTCGAAACAGTGGCAGTGTGAACTCAGGAGGCCCAAACACTCAACAAGCCCATAATGCTACAAATCATATAGCCCGGCCAGAGCCCGGCCCGATTCGCGGCAGGGCAGCATGGCTTGGGAGGCCGCCTTTGACTTCATTCGGTCTGCTGGGCCAGCCACAGGTGCTGCGCCCTGGATTTGGATTTGGGATGAGTCAGCCCGGCCCAGTTAGTCAGGGATTGGGCCTCTACACTGGAAACCACCAGCCTTGTCTAGCAAATGAAATGGGTTATATGATGATGCCGAAAGAGGAGCTGAAGATGGAGCCTGTGATGGATTCTGGTTTGAACTCGGCTGTGGGGTTCTCGGCATATCAGCAGCTTATGGGTCGACTGCCGCTTGGACCACAGATGTAAATCTTTGGAAGTTTTTCAAGTCGTAATACTAAACAGTGTTGAGATGGGCTCATTATATAGAACTCTTTTAAGTTTTAACTATGGGTGTTTTACTGGGAGTTGATAAACTAATAGCTATTGTTCATTCTTTAGTTATTTCTCTTAGGAAATAAGGTGAAGTTTTGCTGGAGACACTGCTGAGTTTTTTTTCAAAAAGAAAAAAACTGGTTTCTGCTTTAATCTGGTTTTGGTGAAGCATCCAAGCAGAGCCGTGTCATCTTGGTTCTTGGGGTGCTCACTCACGTCTTGTCTAACTAATTAGGGGTTTAATGCACCAAACCCCCTTGTATTATACAAAATCTGCGCGTTTTTTCTCTGTATTTTAAAAATTGCGTCTGACCCCCTTCTATTAGGTTTTGTATGCGCGAAACACCCAAAATAATACAGGGGGAAAACGCGCAAATTTCGTATAATACAAGGGGGTATTGTTACCCAACTAATTAGGTATCGCCAATTGCTATAGGAATACTTTTCCTCATCTGCCTTTACAACCATTATCTACAGCGATTTAAAACAATTTTGTTGTAACTTGCGGGGTCCATATAATGATTTTAACGCCGTTCTTGTTTATTTTTGTTTAAAATTTGAGCTCCAATATTTTTTCTTAAAAAAAAAAATCGACTATACTTTCAATTTCTAATGATTTTAACGCCGTTCTTTTTTACTTGTCGTCGGTTCTTAACGAAAAAAGTTAATAATTTGTACTAGAATTGATTAACCAACAAGATAATTATCAAAATTGATTAAGAGAAATTTTAAGTGAAAAAAAGTAAGGATGGGTTACTTGGGTATTATGATTGATGACATGTTAAAATTGGTTTTGACTGATCGGATAATTTTCTTACATCTTTTAACTCGAAATACAACTCAATATTAATCCAACCCAATTCTCCTCACTGTTATTAATACTAGTATGGTACCCGTGCGATGCACGGGAGCATTTATTACCTATTTATTTTTTAAAAGGTATTTTTGTATTTAAATTATGTCATGCTATTAAAAATTCCATGAAAATGAAATTTATATGTTATTAAAAACTTCTTTATGTACAAAATTATTGATTTGATTCTTTGGCACGTAAAGTACTACATAGGTGTTCGGATTTATCCAAAATTGCATATTATTAGTTATTAGTTAACAAATTTAAAAAAATCAAAGGATCTTATTTATTGAACAAAATTAAAGTGGAAAAAAAAGTAGAATTTTTAGGAATTTTCAAACATTATTTATTTTAAATCTAATTCTAAATTTCAATTAAGAAAAGTTGAAAAGAATCATTAGTTACTCCCGGAAATTAAAACCGATTTTCCTACCAATAAACCAATTTTTTTTATCAAACAAATTGATCCGAATTTTTTTTAAACCAAATAAAAAAATCATCAATTTTTCCTAAAAATGCAACCGAATTTTCTAATATTGCACCGATTTTTGTACCAAACAAATTGAATTGAAAATAATTCTAATAAAAATTTTAAATAAATTGTTAATGTTTATGCAGTTGTCTCTTTCCTAAAGAAAATGATATACACTTAACCAAAAAAAAAAAGATATGAACTTACCAAAATTTCGGTAAAACATGGTTAAGAAAAAACATAAGAATCCAATTTAAATTTTGAAAAGTTGCACACAATTTTTCCTAAATAACTGGATAAGGTGACTTTAAATATCATTGATGAACCGCTTTTGTTACCAAAAAATATGGACACAATTTTGAATGTATATCCAGTCCAAATATCAGTTTTATTTTAAAATAATAATTGCACGTGGTTTTATTTAATTTACACAATTTTTTTGAAAGAAAACATTATTCCATAAGATTGGATGAATTGGTTAAGAATTATACAACTATTTGATTCCTAAATTTGTATCCAATTCGTACGGTTTTTAAATTAACTTGTATTTAGAATTGTTTTCATAAATAATTGACACATTTTTTGCATAAGAATCTTCAAATTTGTTACCAAAAAAGATAAGATTTAATTTTTTTAAAAAATAAAATAAAATATGATACGAAAAAAATGGGATTCAAATTTTGCCATAAGAATCTCCAAATTTGTTACAAAAAAAAAATAGAATTTAGATTTTGTTACTAAAGATTCACATGTATTTTTTTGAACTTTCCATTAATAGTAAGTCAAACATTATATTTATTTGTTCAAACATTCTATTAATGTATTTTTCTAACAACCTCTTTATATATATATAGATATAGATACTTAAATAATACATTAATTATCCTCACACATCACAATTTTAATCAACTACTATTCAATCAATCTCATATTTTTAACTACCTATAGTTGTCAATAACTTTTCTCCTCCTTATACATTACATTAATTTTAATTATTAATAAAATACAAGATTAAAATCTCACACAATCAACTTTATTTAAAATAATTTATTTTAATTAATAAAAATAATTAAAATCGGTTTATTTATATTAAATGGCCCCTAATTTCCCAAAATATCCCATTTTTCTTCAGCAGTTCCCCCTCTTAGAACAAAGAGAAAGGAAATTAAAGTAAATTAATTTACTTAGGTCCGAGAATGAATTCTTCTTTCCTTTGTCTGGCGTTCCAAAAAGTGTGCCGAAAATTGAACTGCACATACCCTTTCAATCATCGATCTACTATTATTTTTGCATAACCACATAGAAAATTATGACACACACGACTCATGAATCTCTCACCAAACTGTAATCGCTTCCTGGATTGCATAATTTAGCTCGAATTATCTTATGGACGCATAGTCTCCGTGTATTTTCACAAAGACGTTACTGGGTAATGAATTTCATCTTATGTGGATGAGAGTGAACAGATTGACAAGTGAGAACTGGATCTGAGAGACTGAAACCCTAAATTTCAGCTCTGGACTTCACCTTCAATTTGACCAAGGTAAACTCATGCCTGCTGAGCTGAAACTTGAGATTTTGGATTCAGAAAATAGCCAGATCTGGGATATGATCTTCACCCTAAGTTATATCTCTGAAGATCTCTGACTTATTAGATTCTAATTTTATATTCTACTCATCATTCAGAGATGATCTTTACATCTTAGGGGTAATAAGAAATCTTCATAAGGACTAAAGAATAAAGATATGCACGAGAAAGATATCTTATTGTTGTTATGATTGTCAGTAGAAAGTGAGCCTGCCAGCTTTACTGTATGCAACAATTTGTTGATTCCAAGTAATTGCTAGTAGTATATTTCTTGTGCTTGTATAACAAATAAGCTGAAAAATGTTCCTCATGCCATGCTAATTGATAAATCTGCATATGAATTGATGTTTACTCTTGCGCTGTGTAAGTTGAGAAATTGAATTTTTTTTGTCCCCCTTCAGCAAGATATGATTTTCCTGGCTAGTATTACTGATGATGCGAATAACTGCATTTGCATTTTGCAGGCATCGTGTTAGTTACCAGCCTAACTGTATTTACAAACCATAACATCGAAAAACATGCACAACAGGCATCATCGAAATGGGCCCGGTAATGGGTACAGGTCGAATATGATGGGGATGGGGGGCACAGCCTCAGCTTCAAGAATTCCCTCTGAAAATACTTTTAGAGGTCAGCGCATGTACAGTCCCGACCATAGAAGCTACACTCGTGGTGGTTATTCTAGCGGCAGTCAGTCAAAGCATTTTCATGTGCCTCCTCCAAGGAGCCCCGACATTTTTGTGGAGGCCGGGAGGCTAGCTGCCGAGTATCTTGTTTCTAAAGGCGTGTTGCCCCCAAGTGCCCTCTCTGGAAAATGGCCGAATGATGGCTTAAAGAATGCGGCTAATTTTCAGGGTTTCAGGCCGCATGAAGTAGAGGTTCACGCGGATAGCCGTGGTTCAGTCCATTCTCGCCTGGGAAACGCTAGTCCGGATATGGGGAGTGGAAGGAGAAAGTATAATTCAGAGGATAGTAGTGTAATGGGTTCGAGGGGATCTGCTAGGGAGAGGAAAAGAAGTGGGCCCATGAAAAGTTACGGGCCAGACATGAACAGAGATTCGGGCCGTAGCATGTCGCGGTCTGAGAAGGTTATTGCTTCTGTTGGGCATCATGGTGAGAGGCCGCTGGCGGAGAAAGTAGACGAAGGTGGGACCCATAATTTGTCTCCCGGTGAAATAACTCGAGAAGTAGAGGCCGAAGCTTGTTTAGGATCTGGATTGGAGAAATCGAAGATTTCGGAAGATGAGAAGGCGAATGACGAGAAGTGTTCGCAACTGGTGCATGCTGCAGATGGGGAACAAGTGAAAAATCATGAGGAGATTAAAGAGGCTGGTGAGAGTGAGATTAAAGAAGGAAAAAATGATGAGGATTCACTGCAAAAGCATGATGAGAGTGACGTTGTGAAAGGGGAGGATGATATGGTTAGTGAGGAGGATCCTATTGATTTGGTGAAACACTCTAAATTTTTGAATGTTTCCACTAGAGCTCGTTCGTCTTTGGTAGGTAAGAATGCGAAGAGGTATCAGGAGGATAATGTAGATACGAATGAGAATGTTTACAAGAGAGACCTTCCGGAAGGTTCTGGAGTTCACGTTATAGATGTTGACATTGAGAATTCGGCCGGTGATGCTGCCTCTTGTCAAAATCCTGAATTTAAAAGGCATGAGTCTGATGTCCCACCTGTTAAGGGTAATCGGGATGTTACTGAAAGGCCCCTATATAAAGGACCTGAAGCAGATGGGGGGCTGTCAGAGTTTGGAAGATCAAATTCCGTGCTTGTGGAGAGAGGTGAAAAACGGGCAATAGAATTTAGTACCGATGTTAAGGAGGATGTCAAAAGACTTAGGCAATGGGTTGAGCCTCTTTCCAGCCCAATGGAGAATAATTCATTGTTGCAGGAGCCAAGAACATCATTGAATGCTCAGTCAACTCATCTTCCTGACCAGAAAGGTCTCGATGTTTCAATATTTCAGAAAGATCATGCTGACTCTTGTGAGTTCATAGAAGAGAAGCACTCGTTTAAGACTTGTGATCTCAATCTTGTTGGGAACAGTGATGTAGGCGAGAATCATAACGCTGGCCGCATGCTCGTTTTTCCGTCTCTCATGCAATCTGGAAAAGAGGCAACACCTATTGATGTTGATTTTTCGATTAGTAATGTTGGGAATGTGCCTAATAACAACGGTAAAAATGCTATTAATGCTAATGAAATCGAGGTTATTGATTTGGAAAAGGATTCTGCACCGGAAGAAAAGGCCTTCAGTAATCCCGATAGAAGGTCAGTGTTTGTTCGGATGCGCACGTTAATGTATCTTCATTTGTTTTAATAATTTAGTTATTTTTTTCTATCTGCTTTGTTTTTGTTGTGAGTTAAATTTTGATCTTGCTTGGTGATTGTTATTAATGTGTATAGATTGTTTGTGCAGGGGAGATGCTGTATTCACTGACTTGGATGGCTTTTCAAATACTTCACATAATGCTAATGGAATTCCTGATGTCCAGGATGGTTATGGACTTATGATATCGGAACTTCTTGGTCATGACAACCCGAGCTGTTCTTTATCCAATCAAACTGACTTAAATTCTTTGCACAATCATATGGATCTCCCTAACACAGAGGTAATCATGTGTTATCTTTAACTGGTGTTCAACAATAGAAGAATTTGAGTCCCAAATTCAGTGGCTCCTTTTTTCTTGTTGCTTTGACTACACTGAAATCTCAAAATGGATGCTTACATTTGACCAATTCCTAAGCGGGTAGCTAACGGTGTCTTTTATTTATTACTTTTTAAGAGAAATTTCAGAAGTGGTGATTAATTTGTTTTGAATTGGTTGCAGGGTATTCTTGGCGATGATGACTCGATTTATATGTCCCTTGGAGAAATACCAATAAGTATGTTTATTTTTTAATATAACACCACATTTGTACTTTCTTTAGCTCTCTCTCTCTAAAGTGTGGATTTGTTGTAGGCCTCTTGGGACCCTGGGAGCAGCCAAATCAGGACTATGGGAAACCTTTTTGAACTCGTTGTGCACTCGAATAATGGTTTCTAGAGTTCAATCTGAGAGCGTTTGGGCAGCCTGAAGCTCGAAATAGGTTTATGAGTCACAATTCAGGCATGTATCAAGTACATGCGGTTTCCATCTGTTATACTGCAACCTCCTCATTAAGTTCTTTTTTTCTTTTTTTTTTTTTTTTGGTACTGGATTTATGTAGATTTTCTAATGCAGAGATCGTGGAGATGCCAAAAATGTTGATCTTCTATAGTATTTTTCATCTTATACTTTTGGCTGAAATTGTTGTGCAGCATGCCTGCCACAAGATGATGGCATTTATATTGCTGTCAAATCTAAGAGCTGTAACATGTAGAGAAAACCATATTGTAACGGAGTTTCTCAAGTTTGTGGAATAATCTGTGATAACAATCTACATGTTGTGATTGTTTTTTTCTTCCATATTATCTATCACATTTCTTCATGGAGAAGAATGAAATCAGTAATGTCTATGGACTGAAGGTCATGACATCTAATTTGATTAGTATTTTGTGGTCACTTGTCCAAAGTCAAAATTAAATGACAAATATCTGTTGCTCCTATTACAATATAATTGGGCAGGAAAGTATTTTCACAGGACTGCGCTCATCCTTTGATGAGTTGTTGGATGAAAATTATGCAGCCAGCCTCCATCGCCATTAACAATTATGCTCACACCAACTGCAATCTTCACGTTTTGCATACATTCAGGGAAGATTAAAAAAACGACTCGATTGTCCTTACTATCCGAAGTAAAAAAAAAAATGACAGCCTTAGTATATACATTAAAAATAATTCGTACATATAAATTGACAGCCAATTTCACTAGTTGATACAAAGAAAGTCACTTTCTTCACCCTGTAGGTTTTCTCTTAATCGCAAAAACCCTCGTCGAATTTAGTTAGTCATCATTAAAGGGAGTTTCTACCCTGTTGTTTTTTAGTGTTCAGTTTTTGTGGGTGGTTTGTGTTTTTTCTCTTTTGTTTTGTGTGCTGATTCTCCTTTTTGGAGCTGTTATTCTCGGAGTTTTATAGTTTCGTGGGTGCGTTTATGGTATCTAGACTTTCTTGGGGATATCTTCCCACTAGATTCATCTATGTAGATGTTTGGTTCGGCATTTACTGGTTGTTATGTAGATTGTAATCATGTGTTCGTATTTATAATAGTCTATCTTTCTGAAAAAAAAAAAAATAAAAAAAAATAAAAAAAATTGTTTGTATTTATATATATATATAAAAAGAAACAAACAAACTGACAGTTAAACAAGGTCCAATTATAATTCAAATACCATCAACATTGTATTTTGATGTAATCTTAAAAATTGGACAGTATATGTTGACAATCTTAATATACACATGAACCCAAGTCAAACATAGAAATAATATACACACGCAGTATACCAATTGATACATAGAAACAGACGTACATACCATACCAGGTGCAACATTAATAAAGCAATTTATTTTGCTGTAACATAAACATGGTGCATACCTTGGAAAATTGAATAATTGATGATAATGTATGTTTCCTTCTCTCTGTAACCGGCCCTCTATCTTTTCTGCTGTTCACAGCTGAGGATATGCCCTGTGTGTGGTTTTACTGCTGTAAAATTGAATTTGGGTCGAACTACATTGGGCCTTTACTATCTAGTTTGGGCTACAAAAGTGACTTCGACCCTAGCCAAAAGTATAAAAATTTTATGGAGTCATCGGATGGTTTTCTTATGAAGTCATCCACCACTTAATGTATTGACACGTGTCCAAAGTGTATTTATTGCAGGACACGTGTCAATACACTATTGGTGAATAAGTGTGGATGACTCCATAAACCGAGTCATCCGATGGTTCCATAACAAAACTGGCAAAAGTAACCAGCAAAAAGCCATTAATGACTGGTGTAAATTAGTGTCAACAACATTTCGTGTCAGCATTGACATATATTCAATAAATAACAGTTCTGACAGAAAAGATGTACACAATTGATTGAGTCTACAACAATGTTAAATTTTTGTTACTATACATGTAGGTAAACATCTTTCACCACAAGTCATAGGTGTCGTGACTACTCTTAAATGTGAAAGAAGACGAGAAACCCACTGCAAATCCGGGGCTTCACTTTGCTATATATATATATGAAGACAATTTTTCCATCCTTTTAACTCATTAGGATTTTAGCAAAAAGAAATAATTTATTATATGTTTAAGATGGCGTCTAGCTTTCGAGTAGTGCAAGCCGATTATTTGTACGACCTCCATTGGACAAGGCACTAATCGACTATCTACTCAAAAGAGAATCAATGGAGGTTTTGGGAAAAATTTCTCTATATTGAGTCTTCGGATTTTAAACAGTACGCGTTCAACCCTAACCTATAGGTCCGCTGCGCTTAGAGTTATTTCTTAGACAATTCGTGACTTTAATAATTTTGATATTTCTATAATTTCGTCTTTCTTGACGGAACCCCAACAAATCATGTAACAGTAAGGTCCGGGAGATGCTTTAGTCTATACTTATATAAATCCCATTTACTAGAATTAGTAAGAAGAAATGTCAAAGGTAATTAATGCATTCTATTTCCATCAATTAATTTTTATTCAATTATTTTTTTCCCATAAAATCGGTACAAAAAAAATGTACGTAAAACAAAAAAAAAAAGTTGCAGATTTGATCGAAAGATAAAATCTTGATTTTACTAAAAATAAATCAGATGTCAAGCCTAAATTGAAGGGTTTAGTTGTCTATATAGATATTGATTTACGTAAATCAATACATCTAATATTTATAGTTTGTGTAGATTTAAAATTCCTTCTTATCTGTATGAAAATCTGATCTGATTTGTTCCTCTACATATAATGTGATTTCCGTATATCAAGATTTTTTCTTAAAAATCTTAACAGATATTGATTCCACTCTACCAATTATAAATTATAAATCTCAAAATATTGAGCCATCGTCTTCCTCACTTTCAACCTCCTGCGAAAAAATATCCCCAATCAATCTTTAATTCAAAATAATGAAGCAAGAATTTGGCTTAATCAAACAAGTTAATAGGCATAATAGACCTATGCTTAAAGTTCGAATTGTAAGAATGTTTTTCCAAAACTGGAGCAGCACATACAAATTTTATCTCGAGTTGGTTCTGCATGAGAAAACTGTAAGCCAAATTATTGTTACTTTTTTTTTATTTCAAAATATAAACGTATATTTTCGATTTTTTTATTTTATTTTTAAAATTTAGAATTTGCCTTATTTCTTCTAGAGATCGCGTATATATTTAGATATTTACATTATTTATGTTTTTTAAACAAATTAAGTTTTTATTGATTGCTTTTTTATATATGTTTAGTTTGTGAGAATGACGAGTTGTCCAATAATTAAACTTCATAATGTTGTGTACAAGGAGGTCTTTAATAATACTCCCTCTGTTTCTTTTTAGATGTCGTTTAATTTAAAACTTCTAAATTACGACTAATGGGTTGTTTAATAATCTTATATTTTAATCTTATTAAACTTAGTTTTTGAATTATTAATGGGTGGTTTTTAAAGATAATGATAAGAGATAAAGTTTGTTAAAGATAATCAATTTGTAAGAATGAATATAATATTTTCAACGACAACTAATTTGCAAAAAAGTTGACATCCTACAACGACATCTAAAATGAAACAGAGGGAGTATATGATTGTTTCTTTGTCCAATACTACCTTATTGTACAATTTTCCTACGTATTATAAAACTTTTATTTAATATTGCATCTTATAATATAATATTCCTCAAATAAATATATCTCGTGTCTTGCACGAGTCACATACTATATATAATTATAAGCATGAATAAATAGCCTTAAAATTGTACACCTGTGCATCGCACGGGTTCTCCACTAATTATCTAAAAAGGTAAAACATAGGCAAAGATTAGAGATAATTTACAAACTCGTTGGGCCCACACTAAGGGCCCACTACACCCCTCGCGGCTCGCACACGTTTAGCCCAATCCCATTTCCGTACACTCGCCACATCACCTTATCCATATTTTCCAATTACTTTAATTCGATTTTCTCTTAACTATTAAATTTCACCTGAAAGCATCAAAATTGGCATTTAAAATCTTTTTCCCATCTAATCTAGGGTTTCCATTCCCACTGAATTCTCCCTATAAAAAATTTCAACATCATTTATGGAGTCCGACCCGAAGGTATGCTTGTCATTTTCTGCTACAGTTAATTTACTTATCCTCCAATAATTTTATTTCATTTTTCCCTCGCTTTTATGGTTATAACTTTTCAGTTTCCTTTCGAACGCATTGAATTGAACGCCCATTGAGTTTAATTCAACCCTGGAAGTAGTTTGATTCCAGAATTTATTTCCGTTTGTTCGATAATCCCTTGTGCTGGAATGATTGTTGCTCGTTCTCGATCTTGTTTCGGATTAATTCCAGGAGAATCTCGTAATCCTACGTTAGGAAACAAGTTATTGTCGGAGTAGATGGGTTTGAAAAGCGAGTGCTCAGCTGACGAGTCTGTGGAAGATAATGAAGAAATTTCTAGTGACCCCTCTAAATTTACAATTTTTACTGAAAAATCTGAGGTGCACAGAATTGGGTATTTTGTGGTGGAAAATAATGATTATGGTGAGTCGTTTCATAAGGTGAAGCAAAATCTAATTGATGTTACAGTGAACGCTAGTCCTCATGGCGTGGACCCGACCAGTAAAGGTCGTGGCTTGAAGAAAGGGAGAAGGATCAAGAGAGAACCCAAGAAGGGCAGGGGTAGTGATGTAATTACGCACAACTCATCAAATTCAGAGGTAAGCTCAAATAAACGTCCGCAGAATGGTGAACTGAATCAGGGAAGACAGGGTTCTGTTTCCTCCACAAATGGGGATTCTGGTTTTGGGCCGGGCCCACCTCTAGCCACTGGGGTCGACTCGGCCAGTTGGGGACGGGTCAAAATCGAGAAGGAGAACTCTCATTCCAGCCTGGAATCTGACTCGCGAAGCTCCAATTTTTTGTTTGTGCAGGGAACTCACTCCTTGAATAACAGGATGCAGGATGAGAATGGAGATGACATGGCAGGAGGCGAAGAGGCAGATGGCGGAGGATGTGAAAGTGGTGTTGCTGACTCTTCTTCAGAGGTCAAAGGGGAAAGGAGCGAGAATCATGGGTCATTCAGTGATGGAGATTCTCTAGATAAGTCCTTGTTTGAACTTGAGTCTGCACAAGCAGCACTCGAGAAAGGTTTGTCCTGAAATTTTCCTTTGAAAAGGTTGTGTGCGAGTCTTGAATAGTGATGGAGTTTTTTAACGTTTAAGAGTGTTTCAATAGTGTGTAGAAATTAACTTTTTGCCCGTAATGAACAAAATGGTTGTGTGCTCTGGGACCAGTCAGGGTTCGTTTGGACAGAGGGCTTTGTGTAGTCTTTGATTTGGGTTTTTGGAAAGTTATATTGAATAGTAGAATGCTTGTCTGCACTCTGCATTGTGATATGCAAATGATTTATCAACATGGCCTGCCAAATCATGTCTGTTTTCGTATACTCAAACCTCTGTAATGCCATAGCTTTTGTTTTTTGTGTTTATTTAATTTTTCTGTTTCTGGTCTATTTTAGTTGCATGATATATCAAATTCAATCCTCTATTTGAGATAACCTGGATTATATTGTATGTGAGTGAAATCTCATATTTGAAAAATAGATAAACGAAAAAAATGTCATATTTCTCGAAAGAATAAAACTTATATTTGTAGGTGAATGTAGGTTTGGGATTCGATTTTAAATGAACCAAAAAAATGTCATATTTCTCGAAAGAATAAAACTTATATTTGTAGGTAAGTGTAGGTTTGGGATTCGAATTTTTAAAATTTCTTAATAATTTTGGATTCTGAGTTTTGTAAGGCTCGTCCAGAAAGCACTTTTAGCCTAATTGTTTTCAATTATGGCCACTTCTGAATGGTTTATACATGTCTGCATGTAGAGCTACAAAAGCTTAAGGAAATGGGGGAAGATATTTCGGCCCATGATTTCATCTCAGATTCGAGCATGGAATTTGTGGACAATGAACAGCAAACAAGCTCTAAGCAGTTACTGGGTGAGGGCGCACACAGTTTTTCCCAATCCATGCAATCTGAGGTCTTACAAAGTACGAGCAGGGTTTTGGAAACAGAAATTGAAGACCTATTTAAGCAAAAAATCGAAGCTGAGGTGGAATATATAGCAATTTCAAAAGCTGTCCAAAAGCTGAGGGTGGCCACTGTAGATCAGGTTACAATTTTGGAAGAACAAAAAGCTCTGGCTTCAGAGCAAACACAAATGCTTGATAAACTTGGGGCTGCTGAGAATAAAGCTTCCATGCTTAAGAAAGAAGCCGAGAAGTTGGAATGTATTTGCCAAGACATAGCCCATGCAAATGAGGTAATGAAGCTACAGAAAGGGGTTTGTAAGTACAGTTCGTATTTCTTGGTGCAGTTAGTATTGTTTCTAGTTATGTTTGTAGCCTTGGTATTTCAGTTATCGCCTAGTTATGTGGAAGTTGTTCCCACTTAGCTGTAGGAATAGTTTCACACTTTCTCTTACTTTGAATATGTTTTATTTGGTTTTTTCTTGAATATTTTTAGTGATAGATTTGTTTTAGTGCTCGTGGTAGCTTGTCTTGGAAGTGGTCTGTACAGATCGAATGTCCGAGTATAGTTAATTCGGGCAGCTCTTATTTTGCAGTGTATTGAATTTTATTTATTTATTTTTTTAAAACCTTCATTCACATTGAGTTAGGCTGGTGATTTAATGAACTGCTCATAATATGGAAAAAGCAAGTGTTCCAGTCGATATGGAGACGGTAGGAAGTCTTGGAGACATTTTTGCGACTTGGGTTCCTTTNTTAGTTCGAAACATCCTGTAACATGCTGCCTTTGTAATTTGGACGATTGATGTAGATGAAGACAACAAGTTCTATTCGATGGTGAACAAAAATGAACATTTTTTGTTCTTTATTATTCAGAATTTTCCATTCCATGTTGCACGATTTTCCCTATTCCTATGAATCCATTATAATATTTTACTGCGACATAAGAAGTATCATTGTCTAACCATTGGAATATCCAACAATAATATTTATGTTTTGATTTTTGTTTTTGTACATGAAAAAGAGAAATGAAAACATGAAGAGGGAACACATATCCCAATAGAGTTGTATTAATTAGTTTGCATAAATAATATCCATAAGTTAGAGAACCAAAAAATGTAATGTTTTTTTTTAGATGAAGAGTATAATTTTTAACTTGGAGTTCAATATCCTTTAGGGTCCATTTGATTTAAGGGAAGGGTCATTTGGTGGATTTTTAGTATGTATGAGCATGAGTCAAAACGGTTCGGATACTAAGAAATTTCTAAATTGTACTGAAATTCGAAGATCACTAAAATTCAATTTTTGAAATCGTACAAAATATTAGTTTGGTTATGTTTGGAGATTTTTATTTTCGATATGATTTGATTCGGTATTCGGCATTATCGAAATTGCTCAGTTCGGTCCAGAGTGATTGTTCAAGGATTGTTTGAACGATGGTTTGGGCGTGATTGTTCAAGTATTGAGATGATNAATTGTCTATGTTCAATGCACTTAGATAAAGTTATTTTTATATCTTTTAGTTAATTTAAAATAAGTATAAATTCCAAAATAAATATAAATTATAATAAATTATATTTATTATTCTTCTACAAATATATGTTGGGTAAAACTATTTGACTAAAACTTACAGTTCAAAATTCTTTAAATATTATTCTTGGATTTTAGATAATACGAATTACAAATTAATTTATAAATGCTATTTATGCCCAAAATACTTTTGAAAGGTTTTATATTTATTCATTCTGCGAAATTCTAATTTCTTAAACATTAAAATAATGTAAAATATTTTTAATAATCATAATAATTTCATAAATTATACGTAATATTTTGGGGGAGATTTCGTAACTATGAAAACCAGTGTTCCTATATTACAAGGACGAAGAAGAGATTCAGGCTACTGAACCTCAGATGGAAGAAGCCTTTGCTCTCCTCCTAAGGCTCAAGAATATCCACATATAAGATTTCTAGAAGCCAAAGCTAAATATCTGCATAATATTTACAATTTGGGCACTCTAGCACTTCCCGTTTCACACCCAATCAAAGATAAATATATCAGCTCCAACCAACCCAAAAGTCCAGACAAAACCACAAAAGAAAGTAGCGAAAAGTACAAAAGCAAATAAATAAAAATAAAACACAATCGTCAAGTTCCAGCAATATACAGGCAATAGAAAGTAAAACTTAAAAGAGTAGAAAATTAAAAGAACTTGGGGTCGTATCCATTGCTGGAGGTTGCGAGGATATAATAGGCGACAATGTGGCCGATTGAACCCCAGGCGAGGACGTCGACGATGTTGAAGCCGACGGGATCGTTGGACTTGAGAAGGCTGACGTACTCCTTGGCGCGGGTGTCGCCGGCCTCGAAGTGGGAAACGCCGTTCTGCTCCGGCACCTGCTTAGCCACGTTCTCCCTCTGAAAATTGAAGAACACGAACCTTCCCAGGAACAGCGATAGCCCAGTGCTAAGGCTTATCACCACCGACGGGTTCAGCTCCGCCCTCACAGCGCCGGCGGCCATGCGCCTCTTCCCGGCGGAGATCGGCCGGCAGTAGGCGATTTTCGGGGAGTCGAGGGACTTGTTGAGGGGGCGGAAGCCCTGGAAGGTCGGGATGGAGTAAAGAGCGGCGGCCATTAAATGTGATGTTTGGGTTAATCGGGAATTGGATTGGGATAATGGCGTGTGGAGTGTGAGTGATGGATTTTATCTTTAATTTGGGGGATTTTTGTGAGGAGGGGAGAACAGATTTTGGTGCGTGGCGTGGCTCTGTTTAATTGGCCAACTTTGGATTACATATTTTTTTTTATCTTCTCTGCCTGGCGTGTGGCTTCGATATTACGCAGCCTATAATTAAATGTACAAGAAGGATCCGTGGCGCAATGGTAGCGCGTCTGACTCCAGATCAGAAGGTTGCGTGTTCGATTCACGTCGGGTTCAATTCCCCGAAAATACAGATTGGTCCTATATTTTTTATTTCACGCTTTTCCCACCGTTTGCCAATTTAATTATTTTATTGTCGAAGAAACGTAAATAATGAGTTATTAATGACATTGTCTTGCCATTACACCAACAACAAAAAAATCAAACAACATACAACACAGAATGCTGCCAATTGTGAGGGGAGCAGGAAGGAATTAGTTGAAGAAATTCACATTTTGGTGGGCCTTGTTAATCTTGTATCTTTTGCTTTTGGTAGTAGTTCTTTGTCTGTTAGTTGTTCTAGTTTGACGCTTGATGCTGTTGTGTCAATGAATAGCCATGAATGGCTTTGATTTTTGTATTAGCCGTAGTCTGTTATGGCTAGTAGCTGATTTGTGATCAGTGGATCACCGTATTGTAAAACTTTATTTTCTCTGTGAGTGCAATGTTATCTATCGTTTGGAAAAAAAAAAAAAAAAAANNNAGACAAAGCTCGTGAGGATGGCTACAAAACTTCATATCTATCTCTATATTATAGAGAGAAATTTACTTAAAATAGTATTGAAAATAGAATAATTTACTTAAAATAATATTGCAGTTTTCGTTTAAAATTTTTAAAGTTACTACTTTTAGTATTTTCTTAAAAAATAGCGACGGAATGAAATTCGAATTCAAGTTTAAAAAAATTTGTTATTTGAAAAAAGTATTGTGTAAATCTTAATTCTTAAAAAATAGCTGTCACAACCTGAAAAGACAAACTTTGTTTATACAACTTCTTCTCAATATTCTAGGGAAAAGAAAAAAGGAAAAAGGAAAAAAGACTAACATCAGGAACCAACCCAAAATTGTTCGAGTCAACCGGATATCTTTGGGGTAAAAGAGAAAAATATTAATACTATCATGACAATTAAATCAATAAACTTACCGTAGATGATTCAAAAAAATATACAAAAGTCTAGGCAATAAAAAGAGTGGGACGCGTTCGAATTCCTAAATGGATTAACGTTTGAACCCTTGGGTTTGTAAACTACAGTTGCACTAGGTTTTACATAAATATCTAAATTACAAGCTGATTGGACTATATTAATCAGGTTCACGAGTCATGATGTAGATTCAAATTTAATAAGAGGTGAAGTTTTTGAGTGGAATTTCATATACATAGCTCCAGAAGCGACAAGTAAAAATGGATATCATCATGTTTTTCATTTCATCAAGTTACAAAGTCCAGATAAAAAGATCTTAAGTCAGGTTAAATCTACTGAGGCAACATCTTTATACTCATCTATGTGTGAAGATGAAATCTCAACTAGGTGAGCATGGAGAATATGGATGTGTCTTACATAAATGAACAAGATTAATATTCATTTAAAATTACTAAGACTCTCCAAATGTAACTTCCTCACTTAACACCATAACAAGGAGTAGTTCTATGTTTGCCAACGAGATGTTTGAAAATGTGAGGTAACTCTTATAAGAAACAGACTACCATCTACAAATAACATATAGCGCAAGGTGTGTAAACATGATAGACGTTGGAAGATGGCGCAAACGACAATGTCAAATATGTGAATATCAAGAGAAACGATTATTTGATAAATGATTTCCAATGATGAAAGATAGATCCGTGTCAAGAGAAAACCCGAAAATAAGGATAATTCTAAATATTTGTTTTTTCTAAAAATCAAAACGTGAAAGCAAGTCGGAATAGAATTGACACCTATTAGGAAAATAGTGGGCCAAGATAAAAGGAGAGATTTTTTTTCAAACAAAAGTAGAAGAAAAAATTGAGTCAACAGATTTGGGAGTCGAGAATATTAAGGACTGCTACATCCATGTAAATGAAAACAAAAAGGTGGGGGCCTAATTAAAGACGTCGGACCAAAGAGCAGTGATAGACATGCTTCAGTTATTTATTTGTAATAGTTTATGAGTTGTGAGGAAAATAAGTTGTAATCTTTTTTTCTTTTCCCGTAAGCTTGTGTGTGTACTAGTGTTTGTCTTCATTATGAGGCAAATTTATTACTCATGTATAGATATTCTTTGAGTTTGTAAATTGTAATATATTGTCGTGGTTTTTATTTATCTTTATAATCGAGTCCTTGGATGCCTTTGTTGCAGGAAATGAACCAAGGGAACAGTGGTCTCCTAAGAAGTTGAGTAGCTTGTAGTTTATAACGCCATAGTGGTCGAAGTTGAATCTCAATAAAAAAATGTGCTAGAATATAGAGTAATTTAAACTTTACACGAAAGCATGTTAAGAGCCCACATTAATTGGATAATTTCAAGTGTGTGATTGGATATAAATCTTGATTGACATTTTTTATGTTAACCATAGTTAATTTTGAAAAAGTTATTTTGGTTAGTTTTTAATGAAATTTCGATTTTGTATTAAAATAATATTTAAAATATGAGAAAAGTGTTTGAAAATAATAAATAGTTAAAAATATGTGAGTAGTTGAATATTGAATTATATAGTTGATGTGATGTGTGATGATTGATTAATTTATTTGACTATATTAATAATATTGAATAGAGTTGAGGTTGAATTAAAATAATTTTCTAGTTAAGATTTATATAAAGAACATAGAGCGTTTTTGGAATAAAAATTATGTTGATATTTAATGGCATGCGAGAGAGACTGTGATTCTGTACATAAATTTACTCCCGATAAGCTCAAACACCTTGATCGAGCTCCTTTATCTAGAAATTCATTTTAAAGTTAATTTGAAAACTATTCCCAAACAGTAGTATAGAAATGAACTTTTTAGATTCAAAAGTTAATTTGAGAATTATTCCAAAACAATACCTAAAACATGAAAGTAACTCATTCATATCAGTTTGACTGTACGATGGAAAAATTATAAGTGCATTTAATGAATAGCATTTATCATAATTTACTATTTGTAGTCAATAATAAAGTCCATAAGAGTTGTACAAGCACACAACAGAGAAGGCAAAAAATAGTATTTCATTTTGCAGGTACATGAAAGAAACAGAACACAAGCAGTGTTGCTATGTCTGCTTATGAGCAGGATTCCCATTTTTTCTGTAATACAAACAACTCCAATACCTCCTCCTCTCTCTGTCACTCTCACCAACATCACAAACACACGCACAATTAGGAGCATAACAACAATGCTTTCTCAGTTTCTCCTTCAACCTTCACGCTTCTAAAGTCTAAACCACCCAAAATTCATAATTTATTAACTTTGAAGGAAAATAAATGCAAAGAATATTCTGCACAGTATTTTTTTTTTTAACTTTAACATCAAAAGAATAGTCGGACCAATAGAGCTTCATTCCTCTGAAAATCAATTCTTCCCAATTTCCATAAACCTTCAACCTGAAATTCCAAGTCACAAAATTATCACTAACATCCTTTATCCATCTGCACTGTTTATGCATAAAATTGAAAAGAAAAAGGAAATAAAACACAATGAGTGTTGCTAACCTGTATAATGTCGGGGGAAACAATCAAGTATCCATGTAGTCAGTGGGGTTGAGAACTTGAAGAACACGCTAGGAGCACAGGATGAATCTGGTGCACGGCAACACCAAGCCTGCAAAGCAGAGGAGAAAAACTGTGGCTCTATACTGCGAGCACCACGCAAGCGGCCTCCACTTGATCTCAACGCTCGAGCTCTTCATCCTCTTCCCGCCCGCCTGCGGGTCCTTATCCAGATCGAAACTCGCGCCTTTCATCCGAAGCTCCTGGACGCAGCGGGTCAGGGCCCGGCCCTCGGCCCGATCCCTCTGCAGCTGTCGGTCAACCTTCCAGTACCCGTAGAGCTTCAGCTGAACGAGGAACGCGAGCATGAGGGAGGTGCACGCGGACACGGCGCACGGGATCCACCACTCCCGGCAGCTGCGGCGGCGGCGGTCGCCGGCGGTGGACGTGAAGAGGAGAGTGAAGCAGAGGCCGTGGAAGAGGAAGAAGGAGAAGCAGAGGTGGAAGATCTCGCGGCCGATGGCGTCCTTCCTCGTCTCCTTGAGGAACATCCGGCGGCCGTAGAGGTCCTCCTCACGCTGCCACAGCTTGAGGAGGAGGAAATGGCCGGGGCTCTGAGAGATCTCCGCCAGCGGGTGACTATGGATGCCGGAGGCGACGGAGACCCCCAGTTTCTGCTTGTGCTCGTCGTCAACGGGGATCTGAACGACGTGAGAGCCGTTGGTTTCCGCCATTTGCGAGGTAAGAATGAGAATATTCTAGAAAATTGAAGTGAAATGCTAAAAGCAGAAAGTAAATTGGAAGTTCAGAAAAGGTAAATTGGAAATTAGGGTAGAGTGCGTGGAGATTTTGAGCGATTTAGATTGGGGATGGTTTTTTAGGAGTGTGTCTATGTGGTATGTTGCTGGTGATGTGATAGCAGAAAAGTAAGGGCAGTTTTGAGATATTTAAATGATTGGGAATAAAAAGCAAGGAGATGTGGCAACGGTCATATTTGGTTGGAGAAAACACAACGGTCGGATTATTTGGTTGGGCTGGCTACAGTGCCACCATTTCCTTAATTTATTTTCAGCCATTAGATGTTCAAAATTAATAGAAATTACCTGCGCTAAGCAACAAGTTACGTCACCCACTTCCACATTCATTTTTCATTTTTTATTAGTTCATATTTTCATATTTTATTAGTTCGTATAAAGTATTGCTAATTACTAGAAATTCTTTAATTGTTATTTAATTTAAATATATAATGATGCATATTTAGTTCATTCATTATGTATATTTAATTTATACGAAATGCATATTTAGATCATGAAAAATGCATATTTAGTTTATGTGATATCCAATCATAGTTAATTATTTGTGTAGATCAAAGACTTATAGTAATCAATTGAAATTTAAATTAATTATATAATAAAAATTAATAATTATTATATTTAAATTAATTATATAAAATGCACATTTTATGCATATTTTCGCTGCATACATAATTCATTCATGATGCATATTTAGATCTGTTAACATATTGATTGTGCATACTTTTATAGATATATTTATAAATATTAAATTTTTAGGTAGTAATACATATTCACGCCTATAATATATATATATATATATATATATATATATATATATATATAGCGTTAGGATCATATGAGAATGGTAGATAGTGAAAAAAATAAGAATGATTCTGGACCAATGGATCCAACATATCAATGGTCTTGATTTAGTCAAATATTAAATATGGCAGTCAAACAAGCTGTGGCAGTTTTGTAAATAATTGTACAATTGATGGTCAATTATGGACTTTTGACTACAAATTAAGGATAAATTGGACATTTGATACCAACTAATGTGGGACCCACCATTAGAGCATCTCCAATGGCTAAATGTCTGTTTTGAAATGTATGGTGTGGAGAAAGGAAATAAAAATATTTTGTCTCCAATGGTTAATCTCAATTGTAGGATAATTTGATACGTGTAATATAATAATTGGTTGATAGAAACATAAATATAAAATAAATAAAATAATATAAAAAGGAAGATGTCTATAAGTCTTTCTATATCTACAAAAACTTCTAGAATTATTGAATATCACATTGAATTTTGGAGGCTAAGTGGCAATGGAAGAGAGCAATCCATGTACGATTGGAGATGCTATTAAGCAACGTTAACACTAACACACCCCATCGTGCCACCTACCCCATCCCCATTCACATCTATCTTTCACCTACAAACACACACACACAAACACACACACACGCACTTCGCTGCACACGACCGACCCAGCCCACAAACCACCTGTCACCGCCGCCGCCACCGGACTGCCGCCGTCGTCGCCGCTACTGTCCCGTCGAGCGCCGTCAGCCATACCCAGCAGCGCCCTTCCCCTCCTCTCCTCCCCGGAATCAACCCACCACAAAACCACCAGTCACTGCCATCAGCCGAAACCCTCTTGTCGCCGCCCGAACGGTCGCCGTCGCTACCGCTAACAACCAGTCGAGGGTCGTCAGCCATCACAGCATCGCCACATCGTAACCTGCCCGTCTCAAACTCACTCAACCCGCCCGTCGAGCTCCCCAATTGTACTAACGGCGAGGGCCGTCGTTACGGTGAGTTGCAGAGGAAGACGGCAGAGAAGATTCGTGGGTTGCAGTCGAGTTGCAGAAGAAGATGAGTCGGGAATAGTAGAGAGACGGCGACGGCGACCTGAACGGGACGAGCTCGCCGGAGATCTGAACGGGAGATGGGAGACGGCGGCCTGGAACGCTTGGGGGCTGAGGAATTGCATCGTGATTCTGGTTGATTTTGATTTTGGTGAATTAGACTTGAATGATTCTGATTCTGTGAACGATCTGTGAATTTGCATCTCGTGAATTTGTGAATTGGACCTGAATTGCATCGTGAATTTTCATTCTGATTTGTGAATTGAATTTTCATTCTGATTTGTGAACAATTTTCGGTGAACTGTAGGTGAATTTCATTCTGAATGTGCGAACATTTTTCGGTGAATTGGCAGGGTGAAGTGAAATACAATTTTGGTTGATTTGGGTGAGAATTGATTTAGGGGTTAGTTTTATGTAAATTAGGTTAATGTTAGGGATTTTTTGTAATTTTTGTAAAACTTTAATTATGACATAAATTAATTAGTGATATAAATATTTATACTAAATTATTAAGAATTTAATAAATACAAAGGTAGTGTTAAGTATTTTTTAAACCTAAAAAAATGATATCGTACCGAAATACTTGATATGTAAAATAATAATAATAATAATAATAATAATCATAACAATAATAGAACAAAAATATAAAAATTCGTATCGAATTTCTATTCGTTTGATATCGTTTGTTTTTGTGCAATGTGATAGATAGTTGTGTGCAATCTGTATAACCGTAATGTGCAATCGCAATACATAAAAAATATAGATTAAAAATAATATTAATTATAATAAAAACATAAATAAATAAATAATCGGTAATATTTTCCGTCTATTTCGACGTGTGCGGTTATTTTGTTTATTAATAAAAAAAAACTAATTCCTACATTAACCAACTAATATTTATTAGAATTACTGTATTTTTTATACGTGTGTTGTGTTATAAGGTGCAACATATAGTTGTATAAAGTGCAATTTATTGATATATAAAGTGCAATATTGATATTCTAGTATGTTATCACGAATATGTTTTTTTTTTTTTGATATATAATGTGATGGATAGTAAATATTATGTCGCTCCGTTTTTTATATTCATATTGCGTAATTTGTTGACACATACGTCAAATTAAATAGTATGGAAATTTAATTGTGGAGGGTGTTTATAAAGTGCAACGTGTTGTTTTATAAAGTGCGACATTTTTTATTATAAAGTGTAATGTTTTATTATATAAATTGCACTAATTTATAGTTTACCATATATATCTCTGAAAAGTAGTTTTAATATATTTATTTTAATCTAATTAATATAAAGTGCAACTCGATCACATATAAAGTGCACTAATTTATATGATCACGTATAAATTATGTTTTTTTTTGAAATCTAGAATAGTATATATAATTGTTCATAGAATTAACCTAAATAATTTAAATAAATTATTATTTATTATTATAAAATTATATTTTATTATTTTAATATTTTTATATATTATAATTTCACATATTAAAATTTATACATTATTTCACTTTATTTATCCTTAACATGCATTTATGAGAATAATGCAAATTTAATACACATTTATATATATATATATTTTTTTTTACTATTTGTTATTTAATATTTTATATTTATTTTTCTTGAAAATACATAATATCTCTCTATATATATATTTGGCCATTGTATAAAACAAAAGGAAAGAAAAAGAAATAATAGTTTTTCCAAATTACATATTTAGCCCATAGACCAAATTGAAATTTAACTAAAATCCTTTTAATTGCAATTGGGTCTTTCAAAGTTATCAAATTCTCAGCTACAAGCCCCTAACTCCAAACAACTTCCTAGTCATTTTCCGGCGCCTGTAATTCAAAGGCGTTCCCTGCCACGCCGTACGCAGAACTGCCGGCGGTTGGAAGGCCGCTGTTGGCCGCGAACAGAATGTCGCCGGAGGGTGGTTCCCGATCTCACCGGCGACCGGAACAAATTCTTATATCGTTGGCGACGAAAATGGCGGAGATTACTTCGTCTGGCGGAGACGACGCGGCGGAGCGACATGACGTCTGAGATCGGCGGAGAGAGGTGCGAGGGGGTCGACGGTTGTGTGCGGTGCCGCGGGATGGTCGGAGTCACTGCCGGAGATTTCATGCGTGAGTGTGTGTCTGTGTCTGCTCTGCAGATAATAGCATCCTCACTGCCAGAAATTTTGAATGTCGGTGGCGGCGGGCTCTGCAGATGACGGCGGCAGCGAGCTCCGGCGGCGAGTTCGGCAGAAAACGATGGCGGTGTGTGCGAGGAGGGCGGTGGTGGCGGACGACGGGCCACTGGCGGCCTGCGGTGGCTGAGATTTTCTCCGACGGGTTCGGTGTGTGAGTGGTGTGTGTGTATTGTGTGTGTGGGTGTGTGAGAGAGAGTGCAGTGTGGGGAGCGTGGGGTGGGGTTGGGTGGGGTGGGGTGGGTGAACCTGATTAATTTGGGTAGTTGGTAGTATATTAAATGTGTATTGGGCCCCACCTTTTTTGTTGTTTCATATAAAATTACCACAATACCCTTAATGAAGGTATATTGTTGACTTTTTTATAAGTCATTAGATGGTGCAATCTAATGGCTACGATTTATTCTCATTTCTTTCGTTAAGCATCATTCTCATGTGACCGCGACCCTATATATATATATATATAGCTTCCTCAATGTTACGAACATCTATCAAAGTTAGAAAGTTTCTAAAGTCAAAATGAAACATAGGAAAATCCCCCCTCAATTTGACAATTTTGGTTTGGCCATGGATGATGATCCTCCATTTTCCTATCGTCGATTTATAGATGCCGATATTACTTTCAACTTGATAATTTGTCAAGATATAAGAACCACCTTCTTCAATATTGCCTTTGAATTTTTGGATATTGACAGGTCGAATAATGCCAGTAATTCGTACACCCTAAAACAATACAAATTGATTAATTAAATATATAAGTTACAAAATATAAAATATGTCACGTTGAATCATGCAATCGGATTTATTTGTAAAATAAAATATAACTTAAAATTAAACTTAAATGTAAATGTAAATAATAATAAAATTAATTACCTCAGAATCATGAAAGACAATTTCAAGAACATTTCGATAATTGCGTACATCTTCGACTCGTTGGAACATCCGAATAATGCGCAGCTTGATGGGTGGCTTTTTGGATCTTTCGATGTCCTTAATGACTCCAAAATCTAAAGGCATTGTGAATGGCGTTGAAAAAGCTTGAAAATAAAATTGTTATTGCGGGATATGTATGTGTCGAATATCTTCTGTAAAGCTCGACTGGTGTTTATATAATCATGTGTATGGTATTTAAAAAAGAATTAAATCTTGTGTTGATCCTTTGAATGGATACAACCCGATATTTTTCATAAAGATTTTACTAATATCCCGTCGGATCCGATTTACTTGCATAACTAATACAATGAGTTGGCAAAAATATGTGGACAATTTCGATTCAATCTCAAGTAATTAATTATGCGATTTTCGCAATTAAACGTGCAATTATTCCTATTTACACGGACATTTACCATCATTATTATGAGGATTGGAAACTGTTAACAAAATCAATTACGGATATTCCAAAATAAATTTATAGCAATCCGCTGAAATTGTTTAAGAAAATCCAAACCATTTTGGATACACACGATCCGCTGAAATTGTTTAGGAAATTCCCAACAAATGCGCTTTAACTGATTCCGCTGAAATCCCAAACCATTCGGATGAACAGAATCCCAACCAATTCGGATACACAGAATTCCATTACGCTTACATGTGAAAACCAAGTTAATTTGCAGATTCCGATTTTATTGTTCAAGAAAATCGAAACCAATTTTGCACAGAATCCGTGATTATTTGAGAAAATCCGAAACAAATTTGAGGATTGAAAGAAAAATTAATTATGTTAAAATTTAAGCAGGCGGATTAAAGGTTTCTTAAAGTAGCAAGTCAAAACATGATTTTTTTAAGTCAACATTACTATTTTTGTATTTTTCCAACAACCTCTTTATATTACTATAGATATTGTATAATAGACTTAATAAATACTTTTATTTAATTGATAATATATAAATAATAATGTATTTTTTTAAAATAAAGTTACACATTTATTTATGTGTACAACACGATGCCTAAACGAAACTCGGTAAGAGACAGTTAATTTAATATATCATATATTGAAACTTGATAAAGAATAAGAAAGTTATTGATCTTTAAAATATGTTCATAATTTTAGTTAATTTAGTATTTTATAATTTTAATAGACATGTATAAAAGTTCATATGAAAGTATTTATATGTACAACACGATGTTTAACTATCCTATGCACGTTTCAACTGTTGGCCATAAAATTATTTCATTCATGTGGGGGATTATTGGAAAATTGTAAATGAAACTTGTAATAGAAAATTAGCTTTTGTGACCTTGGGTCTTGCAACTTCAATTTGTAATTTAGTTTTAATGTTACAAGACTTTTAACTCCAATTAACTTGTTTAAAAGAATGAATTAATTGGTAGACTTATCATAGACCTATATAAAGAGGAGTCTTTTTTAGGAGAAGACACACGAAAAGGAAGAAAATAAAAGAAAAACAAGAATTATTAAAGTCTTTTTTCCCATATATTTTTGTAATATATTGGTCCAAACATAATTTCAATTTTTTGGATTTTATTTTGTTTTATTGTTGCATTCTGAAAAACAGACGTTTACACAGGACAAATTTGTCCCAAAGACAATGTGTTCTAACAGGACTTTGATATTTTATTATTTAATCATCTTATTTTTTTTTTTTATTTTTTTTTTTTCCGATAAATTCCCAACAGAAAATGATTTCAAATTCTCAAGAACATAATATTTATTACACTACAGAAAAAAGAAAAAAGAAAAATTCGCAACCCCTATGGTGTTTTCATATACTGCAAGTATAGTTCCAAATAGTCTTGGCAAAAACAATTCCACGCCCCTTAAAGTGCTACAGCCAGCACCTTCAAACTCATGCTTAACAAGCACATATTCTTTGAATTTACATTTCCCGTGAGAAGAAGCAAATAATCTATTTTTCAAAAAGACAATTATCTCATAGCCAGGTTAAACTCCATGTTGAGCTAACTTTGTTAATACCCCTAATGTAAGTCACAAAAATCAGCAGGCTATGAATGAAAGTTTTGTCCCTTCAGGCACTTGTAAGGAGTTTGAGAAGCTTAACGACCTCTCTTAGTCTCATCTCTGCATTTTCTCTTCCCACCAAGTTCCTTCCTTTCCTGTTGCTGCCCAAAAGGACGATTATTATACAATCAATACGAACGTATATACGAAATTTAACATAAAGGCATACTTAATGAGGACTAACCTCTTCAAATGAGCTGGTGACTTGCGAATGGCATTTACCCCATTTTCTATACCACATATTCCCTTCAAAAGCTCAGAGGCAATGAAGTATCCTTCCTCTTTGTTTCTGAATTAATAATCAAGAAAATGATTATTATATTTGGAATCACTAATCCTATTGTAATATAGGTTGCTTCACTTTGTTAATCCACAGGTTGACAATTTTTTTTTATCAAAATGACTTAAAAACATGTTTTCGCAATGCATGGCTTGTTTCCATTGTCGTGAAAAAGAAGTGGTTGATTTTTGCCATATCAAACACAAATCTCGAACGTTGATAGAATTCACTTCACCTTAAGAACTCCACGACAACAGTTTCCATGCATCCATGACTCTCAACAAGTATCTCAGCGACTGCCGGATATCTGGCGAGGTTCCTAAGAGTCGATAATGCATGCTTCAATACTTGGTGAACTGGTATACTTCGGCTGACTGATCTTATTAACTTCAGTAAAGTTCCAATTGCGCCCGCAGCAACAAGTTCCTCACAACACTTTTGTGAAAGCTCTGTTGCCATATCTGTTAAAATCGGGCAAATGCTTCATCACGTGCAGGCTCTTTCATTTCCTATGTATATTTTTCATAAATAAACGATAAACAGTAGACGAGAAGAAAAAGGAAAAAGAAACAAGCATCTACTCGTTACTACAACTAACAAGTATGCTCTGTTGATAATATTATTCAGGAGGAAGGTATTAAAAATTTATAGTGAACAGGTTTCTAAATTCATTTTCTAATTATCCATTGAATGTTAATCACAACAGGTTTATAAGGACGTGCATCTGTTATACACTTATGAAAATTAAAATGAAGTTTATGTTTGATTTTTAGATAACAATTACACCAGTTCACCACTGCTTGAATCTCATTTCATTATGCGACAAAAACTTTCACTAGGAAAGGTAAAACCAAGATCACTAGAAGTTCAATAATTCTGATCCATGGGCTGAATTGTGCTATTAAAAATTTAAAACGTGTGATGGCTGATTTCTGGATGTCTAACAAAGTCAAGGAAAATCATATGCTACAAACAATAGACAAGACATTTCAAGTAGTTCAAAAGGATTGAGACCTTTGACATTGTCCCAATCTGTACTTGAGAGCCTGCTGTTAGTAATTTGGCAGCTGAAACCCAGCAATTTATGAGAATTCAACTTATCCTAAAAGAAAAAATTAAAAATGAACAGAGCATCAAAACGACTAAGGTTACAATCTTAAGTACAGCAATGTATTTTAGACTTTACCATGTTTCGTTTCACAAGTAGCTGAACTGTGAGAAACGCCAACAGATCAATCACGCTCTGTCCATTACATGCACCATTGTGTTCTACAATGTCATTGCCTTGCAGCACCTGTAAGTGCCACTCTCATACACATTACTCCAGATTATGGCAAGGAGCAGGAATAATATCAACTAGAATATATTTTAGATGATTTTCACCCAAATACTGTTTCCTTGAAGCAATGTTAATTTAGTCAACTCAAACTAAAAATGCTTTGAGCCTTCCAGCAGATAAATACTAAACTGGAACTAATGATGTCTTAGTAGAATATTAACCAGTACTTCTTCCAGATTGCTATATCCTCATATAAAAAGTTAAGTATTACTAAGAAATAGTCATTACCTCAGGAAAGTTCCCTAATAAAGATGTTAATTTTTGGGAAAGTATGAAGTTGTGAACTGCATCTGTATATTCAATTGCTGACATGATAGAAACTTCTCCCACTGTTCCATCTTGGTTCTGTAATGTGTCAACCATAGTAGAATAAGTCTGAAAGCATATACATAGCAGAACGGAAAAAACCTGTCTGAGAAATATGAAAACTTACCTTGCAACAACTTGAACAGTTATGTTCTTTACGAAAGTAATACTCAAGCAAACACCACATAGCTTTTCCATCCAATAAGGAAGATTTGCTTTCAACCTTCAACTCATACGCTTCACATATAGCCTAAAAAGAAGAGTGTCTGCTCTTGTAAGTTGTAGACATATCGTCATACTGGAATAATGCAATGAGTACGTCAAGTAATTCACTATTTCTTATGTTACTCAATGCGACATACACTAGAAATGCAGGATTTCATTATGATCCTTATTTTGTTTTAAACAGTGAGAAACTTATTCAGTCTGAATAGTCTATAATCCATTTTGTTTGCCTTTCAGAACCTAGTTATTTGATAGACAGAGCATGGAGGATTCCAGCCCCCAAAAGTTGCAGCAAGCCTAATATGAATCTATTTTCATTGTCTAATTTTTTTCACTTCTTTTATTTGTTTCTTACCCTTTCATTTCTAACATGGCCTATAAACAACATAACCAGAAGCTCAAGAAACATATATTTCCTTTCTTGACTACCTGAACCCAACTAATCAGCAGATCCAAGAGAGGCTGGGTGCCTGAGTTCTCCTGCAAAGCAATGCAGATGTTATAACTGACTCAGAATAACACACTCCATTGCAGAAGTAGAAGATGAAATATATATATAATAAGCAACATATAGAGATGAAATTTTTATAATAATCGCATATTAATAAAAATAATGAAGCTATATTGAAGTATAAATGTTTGTTTACAAGCACAGACACTTATTCAGTAACATACAGTTACAACAAAAAAGGTGAATGAAATCACACCACCAAACTTCCACGGATATTTGAAATTTCTTCCAGTAGAAGCCCATTGTTCATAAAAAGAGGCAACTGCTGAGAACAGAAGTCTTCGTTCAGTATATCCATTCATGGACAAGGCACCAACACTAAAATGGGCACATTTGTTCTATTGTATGTGAAAAGAAAACGCTCAACATGTTCTTACCAGGAAAAAATGGAAAAAATGCTGATTCTAATTACATTATAGTTTAGCAATTAAGGAAATGAGATCTAAGGATACAGAAAATCATCAGCCCACCTGTAGGTGAACAAATATGTTCCAAAGCAAGGCTAGTGTTAGCTCCTTGTCCCCATTGACTACATCTTCTTCTCCTATAGTTTATGTTCCATCTTCATCAACTACTGGGACACCAGCTTGCTTCAGAAATTGCAGTGCAATACTACAATTAACCAGGCTTTTCTTCTGAGTATCGGATGGAACAACCACTTTCTGCCAGAACAAGAAATCAATGTTCATATTATACTAGAAAATACAAATTACAAATTAACAGTCTGTTTCTAGAGAAACCAAAACTAAACCACCTCAAGATGGTTCTCTTCTACCGTCCCCATTCCGATCCAGGGAATTAATAAGCCATCCTACAAAGGTTAAGAAAGAACTCGGTAAAATAATAATAAAAAAAACGATAAAGAAAGATTCAAAATATTAATTACCTCATCGAACGCAATCAAAATTACGTCATCGTCGGCAGCACAGCCTTTGAAAGGCGGAGTTAGACAATTGAGCTTTCCATCGGAAAGTTGTTTTCCAAAAAAGATTTTAAATGCCAATAGTATTTTCACTGTCTTTGAATACGGGTAAGGAACTGCTTCAATACGGAAACTTTTGTGTACAACGTTTAAAGCGCTTCCAATTTTCAGATTACCTAAAGTGTTGGAAGCAAGCTTGTAAGCTTCAGCCGCTTTCATGACCACATTAACTGGTATTCCCATCGTGGGACCCAATAGGTAAGAGATGATGACTGCAATCGCAAAATATTCTTTCATAGTGAACATCGTGAGGAGGCCGTGGTTTTTCCAAATAATCCTCCATTGATTCTTCTTCACCTGATGCTCGTCGGAATTCAAACAATTGTCCATTCTTTAAATCTTCAAATTCAACCAAGTCATTCGATTCTCCTCTCTCCTTAGTCATGCTTCTTGCAAATTCCTGGCCGTTTTCGTCATATTTGGTTGCCCTTTTCCCTTTCGGATTTTGGTTCAAATAATGCAATGCATTCCGGTTGGACACTTTACCCTCCCAATTGTTTAAAACCTTCCACGCAGGAACATATGTCAATTCATATGTATATTTTCTTAACTTGAAAACTCTGGCATCCGTATCTATTGACTGCACCCTCAGTAATCCTTGTTCTGCTTCGACAATAGCTATCTGTGAAAAGGATTGCATTATTCATTAGAATGGCGTATTTTACTAAGCATGAGAAATATCTTTCATTGAAGTATGTGATCAACTAATTGAACCTACTTGCATCTTTGGGATTTCTTGTTTCTTTTCTGTTTGATTATATACTTTGAATGAATTATTTATATTATGCTAATTTGATTGATCATGGGATCTCGATATTTTAGCACAAAGTGATACGTGATGTCTTTTGGAATTGTCAACAAGAGAATTATTTTCAGCACTGCTGGAATCGTCAAAGATTCCAGCAAGAGACGATTCCAGCAGTGCTGAAGATAATTCTCTTGTTGATGAAAGGGAGGAAGGCGTCAAAGATTACGAAAATCGGGATCATTCTACTTCTATTGACGATCAAGTTAAGGTAAACCTCTCGCATATCCTATATTTTAATATTGTGAGCTTTTTGAGTTTAAATTCGTCTTGGGGTTTAGGGCTTACACTTATGTGAATCTATGTGTAGACTGAAATTGTGGAGCCTTTAACACATGTGATTTTGTGGCATCGGGATGATTTTATGTTTCTCTATAGCGCTATTTTATGTGTTTGTACGAGTTAGTTGGATAATTTGAAAAGCAGCATCAAATTTATGCCGACATGCTAAATATAGTGAGGCCCAAAAATTCAAGCCACAATATAACATGAAGAAAAATTCAAGCCACAAGCTACTTTCGCATGCTCAAACAAAATGTTAAACTCTTCCCTTTAATCTTTAATCATTTAAGCTTTCTCTTGACCTTAATAAACTGGAACTCATGCTCGAATTTAATACTGAAATAAGCATGTAATTTAGGCCTACAAGACCTCCAAAAGATTCAGCAACAAATTCAGGTATAGCATGCTAAACTCCAAAATACTTCGAAAAATCAAAATAATCATGCATAAACTCCTTTCCATTCGGAGTTACAACAATATTCTCATAAACTAGTAAACACTCACATTCGGAGTCACAAGTATGTTCAATTTCTTATGACTTCGGGTTTGACTTATGTAATTTTTCCTCGGTTCTGCCCAGAAATTATTTTCTATTTCATAAAAGCAAATGGGTACAATCAAATTAGCATAATATAAACAATTCAAACAAAGTATATAATCAAACAGAAAAGAAACAAGAAATCCCAAAGATGCAAGCAGGTTCAATTAGTTGATCACATATTTCAATGAAAGATATTTCTCATGCTTAGTAAAATACGCCATTCTTATGATTAATGCAATCCTTTTCACAGATAGCTATTGTCGAAGCAGAATAAGGATTACTGAGGGTGCAGTCAATAGATACGGATGCCAGAGTTTTCAAGTTAAGAAAATATACATATGAATTGACATATGTTCCTGCGTGGAAGGTTTTAAATAATTGGGAGGGTAAAGTGTCCAACCGGAATGCATTGCATTATTTGGACCAAAATCCGAAAGGGAAAAGGGCAACCAAATATTGGACTGACAAAAACAGCCAGGAATTTGCAAGAAGCATGACTAAGGAGAGAGGAGAATCGAATGACTTGGTTGAATTTGAATATTTAAAGAATGAGCAATTGTTTGAATTCCGACGAACATCAGGTGAAAAAGAATCAATGGAGGATTATTTGGAAAAACCACGGCCTCCTCACGATGTTCACTATGAAAGAATATTTTGCGATTGCAGTCATCATCTCTTACCTATTGGGTCCCACGATGGGAATACCAGTTAATGTGGTCATCATCTCTTACCTATTGGGTCCCACGATGGGAATACCAGTTAATGTGGTCATGAAAGCAGTTAATGTGGTCATGAAAGCGGCTGAAGCTTACAAGCTTGCTTCCAACACTTTAGGTAATCTGAAAATTGGAAGCGCTTTGAACGTTGTACACAAAAGTTTCTGTATTGAAGCAGTTCCTTGTCCGATATTGGTACCAGCAAACCTGAGAAATCCAGCATCTGGATGGAGTTGGATGCAAGTCGGGGGAAGGAGCTTAAATTCGTTAATTGATGGGTTCCAAAGGCAACTCTATCACCCCAAGACTTATCCACGAGGCACACCACGCCATTGCAATAGCCCTGGATCTTAACACTAAATGGCAAATGGAGTTGTCATGTTGATAATGATTTGTCATCCCGATCAAGCACAGAGAAATAATTACAACTCGAGTCAACGTCTCCATCAGTATTAATGTTGTTGCCATGTTTGCGCAGCAAAAGAGGAAGCTTTTTCTCAGGGAGGGAGCTTGTGCTGCCGATTTGCAGATGGCGTTTGGGGATGTAAAGCGAGGGATTGTGTTCGATTGATGAGAGATTCCTGAAAAAAAATACCTGGAATTGAAGAGGGATCTTCCAGCACCGTCCTTCAACATCAACATTCCCATATTGAATCCATGAAAGCTTGAGTGATTTGGTGTTCTGTTAAAACCTCCACGCATCAACATTCCCATATTGAATCGATGAAAGCTTGAGTGATTTTGTGCTCTCTTAAAACCTCCACACTTAATCTAGGTTTTTCATTCGTATGAACTTTGTACTCGGGATAAATAATGATAAATCAAATGAATTAAAAAATGAAGAAATATATCTATGTCTATATAAAAATAATAAAGTTGAATATTAATATTAGAGGATGAATGGTAAAGAAATTATAATGAATAATCGTCAACAGATTAAAAAATGCAATAATACCTATGAATAGCCATTTAAATTTGGAGTAAAAGAAAAATAGCCAATGATGAAAAATACAAACGAAGGTTGCACTAGCGGAAGCATCGGAAACACCAAATTGAATTTTGTAGCTACACATGAAACAAATTTATGGTTAAAGTTGTTGTTAATAAAGTTCATATACAAAATATATATATGAAAATAAAATTGAATATAATTAATATTAACAAACCGAAATGTGCCACGATTGTGAGAGCACTTCCGGCATGAATAGTTGCCGTTGTCATCCTCCATTGAGGAGTTGCAACGAAGACACGCAAGGTACCACCACTGGTCTATCATGGAATCGATAGTTGCGCAAACCCAAGTGTCCAGTACCTACGAAGAAAATATACATACAAATCATTAATACGAATTCGATTAGAATATATATATATTGTATCATTCAAATTATCAAATTTATTATTATTAAATTATCGATTAGAATAATAAATAAGTTTATAATTATTAGTATCACAATTAGAATTAGAATTAGAATTTATATTACCTCAATATACTCAAATAGAGAATCAACAGAACTAACAACAATGTCACCATCATCAAGTCCTTGTAGTTCGGTCTTCACAATGATTGAGCTACTTGAAACCAACTTGGTATCCTTAAATTCACTCATCGCTAGCCTATATTGTAGAATAACATTAAATAAGATATCAAATAATATGAGGGGACACAGTTACCAATGTAAGTTTTTTATAAGACATCAAATAACATGTACCTCCTCCGAAAATCTTGAATTTCGGGAACATCCACCAATGATCAAGGTCACGTCCTTTGACGTGCTTATTTGAACATCACCTATTACCCAAAATATTGTTATAGACAATTAGTATGAACCAAAATATCACTTCATTATCGAGTAATTAATGAAGTAACAATGATTAATTACCTCTCCACTCTCTTGCGCAGCACATTTGCATTATGATGACAAAAGGTGTTTTTTCATTTTCATAATGATGCTTCAAAGCAATCAACTGATCAACATATCGGCCCCAGACAGTGCATTCCTTGATGTTATCCCTACACAATATGGATACGGTTCTTATAAATTTGAATATCTTTTTTTAATAAATAATATTTTAAGATATTTTCTAAATATAAAACAATGATGTAATATAAAATGTGATAATAGAAGGCAACAAAATCTACTCCAAATCCATAATAGAGAACACAGTCATTTGGGTAGGAACTCCCTTGACAACCTTCATTTGAATTGGTTGTATTGAAACAACCAATCCAATGATATCTACAAAAATATAAAATAATGCATCATATTAAAATTTTGAACATAACAAATATTTTATTACAGCATTTAAAAAAAATCGATATATATATATATATAATGTACCAAACAACATGGCTTTCTCAATGTTACGAACATCCATCAAAGTTAGAAAGTTTCTAAAGTCAAAACGAAACATAGGAAAATCCCCCCTCAATTTGACAATTTTGGTTTGGCCATGGATGATGATCCTCCATTTTCCTATCGTCGATTTATAGATGGCGATATTACTTTCAACTTGATAATTTGTCAAGATATAAGAACCACCTTCTTCAATATTGCCTTTGAATTTTTGGATATTGACAGGTCGAATAATGCCAGTAATTCGTACACCCTAAAACAATACAAATTGATTAATTAAATATATAAGTTACAAAATATAAAATATATTACGTTGAATGATGCAATCGGATTTATTTGTAAAATAAAATATAAACTTAAAATTAAACCTAAATATAAATATAAATAATAATAAAATAATATATTACCTCAGAATCATGAAAGACAATCTCAAGAACATACAGTTACAACAAAAAAGGTGAATGAAATCACACCACCAAACTTCCACGGATATTTGAAATTTCTTCCAGTAGAAGCCCATTGTTCATAAAAAGAGGCAACTGCTGAGAACAGAAGTCTTCGTTCAGTATATCCATTCATGGACAAGGCACCAACACTAAAATGGGCACATTTGTTCTATTGTATGTGAAAAGAAAACGCTCAACATGTTCTTACCAGAAAAAATGGAAAAAATGTTGATTCTAATTACATTGTAGTTTAGCAATTAAGGAAATGAGATCTAAGGATACAGAAAATCATCAGCCCACCTGTAGGTGAACAAATATGTTCCAAAGCAAGGCTAGTGTTAGCTCCTTGTCCCCATTGACTACATCTTCTTCTCCTATAGTTTCTGTTCCATCTTCATCAACTACTGAAACAGACTGTTAATTTGTAATTTGTATTTTCTAGTATAATATGAACATTGATTTCTTGTTCTGGCAAAAAGTCGTTGTTCCATCCGATACTCAGAAGAAGCCTGGTTAATTGTAGTATTGCACTGCAATTTCTGAAGCAAGCTGGTGTCCCAGTAGTTGATGAAGATGGAACAGAAACTATAGGAGAAGAAGATGTAGTCAACAGGTAGGTAAACACTAGCCTTACTTTGGAACATATTTGTTCACCTATTGACTACATCTTGTGAGGGGCAAGAAAGATATGTGAGATTTGTTCGACAAGAAAGACAGAGTGGTCGACATGAGGTCCCTATGCAATCATGAACTGGACTAGGGTAGGTAAAACAAAATAGGATAAGGTTTTTCCACTAGACCTATGGGGGAAGAAAAAGGGCGGGAAATGGTTCCCGCCAAATTCCAATATGGTCCTGCGGGCTTTTCGTCTCTTCTTGTTTTTCTTTTCATTTTTTATCCCTTTTTTGCCCCACTGTCGAACTCCGTATACATATTGCCATTGTATAACTCTTATGGACTGACTAGTTGACTACAAATAGTAAATTATGATAAATGCTATTTATTATATGCACTTATAATTTTTCCATCGAGTCAAACTGATATGAACGAGTTACTTTCATATTTTAGGTATTGTTTCGGAATAATTCTTATTAACTTTTGAATCTAAAAAGTTCAAATTTAGACTAGTGTTTGGGAATAATTTTCAAATTAACTTTAAAATGAATCTATATCTATATAATTGTTGGCAAACTTCAATAAATTTTATTCAGCCAACATTTAATAATAATACGAGTTCATTTAATAAAAATATGCTCACCATTTAATAATAATATGTTTTCAGTTACACAATTTATTTTGACAAGTCTCATTTTGGATGGTGCCAATTTCTGTAACGTCTTTTCATGTCCTGAAATACAGAATATTTTTCTTTTTATATTGATACTTCATATTTTTTGGTATCATATAAATATATATTTCACAATTAGTTAAGAATAACTACAAAATCTCCATTTGCTATTGTTGTCATACAATACAACAACAACAACATAGCCTTTTTTAATCCCAAACAAGTTGGGATAAGTTAGAGATGAAACTCAAGAGAACCAATGGTAAGAGAAACACAAAAAGAGCTCAAAACAAAAGGAAGAGATTGGAGCAAAAGAGAAAGGGTTTTGGGATATTACAAAGATACATCAAACATTTTGAAAAATCAAATTCCAGAGTCAAGAGTCGAAGAGGTTTAACGATAATGATTTGTTGTGATGGGGAGTCTGACGATAGGAAAACCACGACTGTTGCATATAAAGAAGTGTTTAGTAATATTTAAATTCAATTTTTTAAATTATTTTTTTTCTGTATGATTTTTATTTTATTCTGTATTCTTAATTACTTTCTTTTTTATTATATCGTTTTTCGTGCAAATGCATGGGATAAAACTAGTTTCTAGATAAACGACCCCGATCAAAGGTGTTTGAGCTTATCGGGAGTAAATTTCTATAGAGAATCACAATCTCTCCCGCTTGCCATTAAATATCAGCATAATTTTTATTCCAAAAATGCCTATGTTCCTTATATAAGTCTTATGTAGAAAAATATCAAAATTCAAATTTAATTCAACCTCAACCATATTCAATGTTATTAAAATAATTTAATACATCAATCAATCATCACACATCACATCAAATATGACGGTCTCTCCTAGATATGAATTGAACCGGTCAAAATGAGCTCCGATTTGTCCGAACCGTCACGAACACCTGCAAGAACTCAACGCCGGAAGAATTTCCGGCGAAGAGCCTCCGATGCTTAAGTAAGTATCAGGAAGATGGAAGATGGTGATGCTCTATGAAGAGCCTTCGACTGTGAAGAAGAGCAGTAAATTATTCCAACTTATTCTACTAACTCAGAATAAATCGACCTACATGCCCAGAATAGAGATCGGATCCTGCACGTGATCCTATTCTATTCAAATTCTTCAAACCTCAATGATAACATCCCAAAGGTACATCTCATTCTCAGGAACTTGCAAAACAAGTTTGACAAACCCAGATGCTTCATCATATTCGAACTCCACTTCAATGGCATCCACTATGATTCTTTTAGGTCTAATGGATGAATAGGCTCCAAAGGGGCCGCAACCCCGGATTTTCATGCCGACAGTTCCTGGCTTTTGCTTCTCATAGTTTACTTCTTTAACTGCACCTCCAGAATTGAACATTTCTATAAGGCCTATTGGTGCAAATGTAACATCTTTTGCCAATTTCTTGGTAGGGACCACGGTGAAGACTTCAAAGTCTCGCGATTTCAGTGTAATTGGGAGAGACGCATTCTTGGCAAGATAAGCCAAATCCCCTGCAGACCAAAAAAAATTGAAATTTATATATGAAATGCATAATTCTTCACATCATCAAAGGTGAGGTTGTATAGTAAGTACTGCATAGATGAGAGTAGACAATCGCATCTCCATTCCATGCATCGTCAGCGACTCTTGGAAGATAATCAACATCACTAGTTCGAATGATTCCAGTTATCGAGCCAGGTTGCTCGTCGTGAATGAGATTCGTCTTTCCATGTTTACACCAGCCAGCTCCTTGGCAGTTAAAGACCCCCACTACTCCATTGTGGTCATTTAGATTCCATATCTTTAACAAGCTGAAGTGAGATTATTGTAATTAATGCATTAAAAATAAACAACATCAACTAGGAAAATATGCCAAATAAAAAAAATTGAAGGAACTATTAGTATCTACAAAATGATGACAAAGCTCACGGATGTTTTGTGATACCTGACATATATAGCGCAGCCTCCAACAGCACGTGCTGCTGCATGATATCCAGCCATTTCATGTTTGCTCTGTAATTAAATCAATGATCAGCATAAATAGTATTCCAAACAAATCCTGAACTGAGCAGTTCATCAGCTTACATGAAACATATCCCAATCGGGCTGCATGAACTCGCCTAGGAAAATCGTGTTGTAAGCAACTGAAGCAATGTGAATCGTGTGTGATGCCGGATCCCTAGGCCAGAAATCATCCGATGCTCTAACAACAGCTGTCCTTTTTGCACTGCGCAAAGACCACACAAATCACCATCTATATTAGCAAGCAATAGCAAAAGTGCTTCTTAACCATATTTTTAATACAAACTTTACACTCAATTTTCCAGTTCGCCACCTTTTTCCATTTCTCGGACCAGTTCATTTCCCCGTATCACGTCAATTTTCTCTTTTTAAAAAACGGTTCGTCAACTAAACCAAAATACTCACATTTTAGTTCACACAGCCATAATAAGACTATTTTCCATTTTTCTAAACTGTTAACGGATTTGGCCATAACTCCATTTCAAATAAGCCCCAAAAAAATACTTCAAAACAGTACGAGAAAAATACTAATGATACCACCATTCGCCACTAACCTGTATAAACCATCTGTATTGTGACTCATGCAGGAAATAATCCCATTATCCGGAAAGTTCCTCGAAATCGATGCCTCCAATGCCTGGTGGTATTTCCTGGCAAGTTTCACTCTCCCACCATGGCCTGCCCCAAGAGTCTCGAGTATGTTCTGTACATCCACTTTGACTCCATCAATGCCGGCCGAGGTAAGGTAAGAGTGAAGCTCATTGTAGAAACTATAGACTTTCTCGGGATTAACTAAACCGAGGCCGGTTTTGGTGATGCTATTTAAACAGTCACATGGTTCGTTCGACTGAACCCCAGGTGACGAGACGGGATAAGCCATTTTCGACTCATATTGTTCCATTTCAGCCACTCCAGGCTTAACACCTCCCCAGTAACCCGTAATTGCATGCCAAACGTAAACATATCTGAAAATTGTTGGCCAAAGAAAAGAGAGATGTAAATTAGTGATATGTGTCATACCAGTAAGTGTCAAACTACGAATGGAGTCAAAAAGCAATTTTCTTTTGTCTTTTTTCCCTGGCTAAAACTAAGTGTCTGGTTGTCATACTTCACTGAGTGGTGATCTTTGATTTCGGTGACAATGTGCCGAATTCCCATCGATGGGTCTTCTACCCTTTCGCCTTCTTTCCCATCCTTTTGAAATTTATGGTTCTCCTTGATATGAGTTAATCTGTTTGCGAAACTGGGAAAAGGGACAAACGAGCAAAGTAGGTCAAGATTCGGGTATGTAAAAAGAAAACGAAAACAATAAATGACAAAAAGGCGAAATTTTTATTAGACGCCCACTTCGCGGAGTTATCAGCTTTTGTTCCCTCGCTATTCGGGTCCATGCCAACCGATTGCCATCCGTCATCAATTATGACAAATTTTGGGGGAATCCCGCCTTTTTTGAAACTGCAATGAAAAACAGGCAGATTATTTAGAAGTCTATGTCTATAGAATCTAAATATGCCATTATGATTACGCCGGCTAATATTGATATGTAACTATGTTTTACCTCTCCAGGCCTTGTTTCACGCCCTCAGCAGTAACGTTAGTATAGAAAGCATCCCATGTGCACCAACCGAACCAGTTCAACATATCTGGCATCTGGTTCATGACAAAGAGCAAGCTGCTTTAGACTCTAAAGATTCATTATAATCCCACAATAACTTGAAATGTAAAGTGTAAAATGGAAGTAGTAAAGAATTAGTTACTCCACCTTTTTTCTTTCACGGTGAGAGAAAGTCTGCAAATGCCCCTCCACAGTCCTGCATATATTACAAATGTTCTCGCTAATTTTCATCAAGATGTATAAAAACTAGCTACATGTATAATAAATATCAAGATATATTTTCATCGTAAGTTCTGGCAACTAGCATGGATCACACGTGCAGCCCGAAAGGATCATTCGCAATATTTCATTTTTAAGTTACTGATTTCCATAAATTTAGGAAGCTCAGGAAAACCATACAATTAAATAAATAAATATCCATTAAAAAAAATGGTAACTAAGAGCAAAAGAATACAGATAGAGGAACATACTTGACAGCATTTGTTATGACATCAAATGGATCAGATCCAGCTGCAACATACACCAGACGGCTCCCATCAAACTCTTGCACAGCAGGATCACCTATATTGCTCAAAATTTCAAATATGCATAAATGATTGAAAGAAAAAAAAAAATTAAGTAAAATAAAAGACACTTGATCTTAGGCATACCACTCTCGAGGCATATCTCCAACTCATTGTTTGCATTTCCTTGTAGAACAGCCCTAAAATCTCCCTCCAAAATGGGCAAGAAAACAACGTATACTGACGATTGTTCGTCTCCCCTTTGGCTGAAATTCGAACCATCACGGCCTTCGATTATCAAGAACTGAGTTTCGAAAGGTATGTCTTGGCCACTTGTGCCCATCCTTTGTGTCATCCACCATAACTTGAAACGGAAAACACACATAAATCTCAAATCCCTGAATATATCATCCATTTATCATGCTTTTAGTAACTAAATCCTTCTCTGCATTCCATTTCAAATAATTGAACATTCAACCAAAAATAAAAAATTAAAAAAAAAAAAAATCAGATCTTTGATCGAGTTGCACCGGGAAACAGGTGATAAAACAATGCCACTTAATTAAAATCGTGATTTACAGCTTTAACATGGAAAATATTTAAGTTGTCAAAGAAAATTATTAACCGAGTTCGGTGTTCCTATATATCACACACACTCTCAACGCCGGACAAAAAAAAAATGAAAATTCAGAATGAAAAGCAAAATTGAAAATTTAAGGTGAGAAGAGACGAAACCGACAGGAGTTTGCCGACCGGAAAAACCCTACGGCAGCCAATCTGATCGGATTCGACTCCGATGAAAGCACCGCAGGTCAAGATTCCGCCGGCCGCCGGCGTCAGAACAATGTTATCGTGGACATCACTCAAAATGCTCTCGCCCAACACGCTCAATCTCCCGTCGTTCACAGAAATCCCAGCCCCCACCGTCATTTTCCTCACTTGCACAAATTACCACCAAAAAACAAAATGTAAAGGAAATTCAAATGAAAAAAAAAAAAAACAGCAAATTTGAGGATAACACGGCGGCAGTACACCAACAAACAACAAAAGAGAACAAAGTTCAAGTTGATTAGAAATGGAAAATTGGTTGTGCGGTATTTATAATTTTTTGTAAGTGGAAAAAAAACACGGTCATGTGAATTTCTGATGCAACGTCGAGATTCTCTAATATACGTGGCCAATTTTACAATTTTTTTATCCAACTGGGAGAAAAATATCTTCGCAACTAGCGGTTTCTATAGTTGCGTGCCCAGGACAAATTTATCTCGTTCGATGGTCACAAAATATGTGTAGCTGTAAAGTAATTTTCCACTACCAAATATTTTAATAAGTGCAATTATTGGACATTAAAATGAGCTTATGATTCCAATAGATAAAAGATATTGGCTTTTTTTTTTTCAAACAGCAAACAAATATATTACTAGAAAACTAAAAAAGAGTACAGAGGCCATGTCAACTGACACGAAAGAACCAGATAACTGGACCTACCCTCTTGAACTCCAACAAGGAGGCAACCGCAAATCCAAAACGAAATTCCACAAAGGGAAAGAAAACTCCATAAAGGAGATAAACCAGACAAGCTGGACTAACACACAAAAAGCATAAAGAAAAAATACACACCTAATGTACAAATAAACTAGAATCTCACCTACACCTAACAGACTCGATGCCTAACCACCCGGGACCACACACGATCCACATCCACCAGCAAAGAGATCCGACAAAACCACAAACCGGAACCTCAAGCCCGAAAACTGTAGCTACTCGTGCCGCCTAGACGGATCTGAAGAAGAGACTGCTCTCGATTCAGATCTGGACTCCGAAAAACCATCCACACTTGGTGGAGGAGAGGAAGCCCCCGTGAGGACACCAATTCGTCTCGCCGGAGTGCTCGAAAGAGGGATCGAACGAACGACAAGCCGCACCAAATGACCCAAAACATGAACAAGAAGACTCTCAGCGGAACAATGGTCGGTACTTCCTCGAGGCTTGGGCCTGAACTCTTGCTGCCGGCGTTCTCGTCCATGGCCGGGGATGGCTAGGTGCGAAGCAACTCGGACCCAACGAGGGCGAAAGTTCTCCAACCCAATCTCCCACAAAGCCCGGAGGAGACGAAAATGTCCTCAGCCCCGAATCGACGAGCTTCTATTCCAGCGGGGCGGCAACGAGCTTGAAGGTGTAGGAGGGGTGGCAAAAATTGGAGAGGGCGACTTGTTTTTTTGATTGAGGGGGAGAGGAAAAAGGGCGCGTCCCCTCACGCGTGGAAAATGTGTCTTACAAAAGATATTGGCTTTGAGTTAACAAAATTTTCAGGTTATTGTATGTATATATGATACTCATCTTTGTGGGTCATTTCTTTACCTAAGTATTTTAATTTAAAATATTTAATTTAAATTTACTTAAAGTGTGATTGGATATCAAATTAATTCAAAAAAATCAATCAACAAGCTGCCCAGATCCTTCAGTGTGGCCCATTGCATGTCTAGCTCCCTCCAGCGAAGCCCAGTTCGGCTAGACCGAGTCTAGCGCTTGGACAGCGCACCCATACCTTCCAGCTTGAGCCCAGATGGTCCAACAAGGGGTCCAGGAGCCAGGGTGAACCCATGGCGAGTCTGGGACGATACAACGCGGATGGTGAGGTAACTTGAGATAACGTTCTCATAGTGCAGGTATGTGGTTAATTTACATTATAGGTCCGAAGATTGGTGAGAATTGAAAAATTAGTTGGTTTATTCGGTGCACTTGGATAGGTGAACTATATTTCACAAAGCACTAATTAAACAAGTTTGGTTGAAAATAAATGTGGGTTGTAGTTTCAAATTGAGGATATTTCGTGATTGTGTTTATTGGATGGTTGGTGCGTTTATCAATTTCTATCGGTGGACTCAAAGAAATTGAATAAAACTAAATTAATGAGCTTGGTATTGGGAGCAACTCATTTGAATTTCGTTTGGTGAACAAGTGGTCCGAATTTAAGTATTTTGTAAGCAATCGGGAACTGTGATTTAACCTGATTTTCATGGTCTTGGTATGTAGTCGAATATTGTGCATTGGTTTAAGGGTTGTCTGTATCTCTGAAGTATTGTTTGTTATATTTTATGACTCGGTTTGTGCGAAACCTCTCTTTTGATTAAAAACATGAGTTATGTTTTGAAAGGATAACTGATAATGTATGTGGTGTACTTTGGTTGCGCTTGCTTAACGCCTGATCTAAGAAGATTATTGGGTTTATTTATCTTGTTCTTATTGTATTGGTTGTAAAGTGGATGATGTGAATAAATACAACTAATGGTATTTTTTGGAATTCTTGTTGAAGAAAATTCATGATAATGTGGACTGGATATTGGTTACGGTGAAGAATGGAAAGCAAACAGCAAGAGATAACTCAGGTCGTCATGTATTAACAAGAAAAAGAGGTAAAAAAAATACACCTGATTTTTTTAATCTTATTTGGTAATTATGCATTCGGTGACATTAATGGAAATGATCGATTACTATCCTATCTTGTTGAGTTTGATGTATTTTTTTATTTGACCTCAGTGGCAGGTCAACATTCGAGCTGTTTGGGAGTCCAAAATCCACCATGACTAAAACCTTCGAACTGGGTGGTCATTTGTTCGAACGGTCCCATGAGCGGGCTGGGCAGACGCTAATGGGTGGCCCCGAGGCCTAAAAATCCACCATGACTAAAGTCTTCGGGCTGGGTGGTCGTCTGTTCGAACAGTCCCATGAGTAGGTTGGGCAAACGTTAATGGGTGGCGCCGAGGCATAAAAATCCACCATGACTAAGACCTTCGGGCTGGCTGGTCGCTAGTTTTGAACAATTCTAGAGGGGGGTTGGGAAAGTGTTCAAGACCAAAATCTACCATGACTAAGGTCTTCGGGCTGGGTGGTCGCTTGTTTTGAACAATCCTAGAGGGTGGTTGGGCAAGTGTTCAAGACCACAATCCACCGTGATTAAGGCCTTCGGGCTGTATGGTCGATCCTAGTGTTGGGTCGTTGAAGACGGGGAGGACGGATAGCTCAAACATGTCGATGGTTTTTGTTTGGTTTGATTGTGTTGGATTTATTTTTTGACCTCAGTGGCAGGTTGATGGAGTTCGCTTGGTGCAGTTCACGGAGCTTATTGGCAGACCTCGGTGACAGGTCGATGGTTTTTACTAGGTTTGGTTTATGGATTTATTTTTTGACCTCAGTGGCAGGTCGGTGGAGTTCACTTGGTGCAGTTCACGGAGCTTATTGGCAGACTGATGACAGGACAGTGGTTTTTACTTGGTTTGGTTTATGGATTTATTTTTTGACCTCAATGGCAGGTCGATGGAATTTACTTGGTAAAATTTACGGAGCTTACTAGCAGACCTCGCTGATAGGTCGATGATTTTTACTTGGTGTGATTTATGGATTTACTTCTCGACCTCAGTTGCAGGTTGATGGAATTCACTTGGTACAATTCATGGAGTGTATTTGCAGACCTCGATGGCAGGTCGAAGGCTTTTACTTGGTGTGATTTATAGATTTACTTCTCGACCTCAGTGGCAGATCGATAGAGTTCACTTGGTGCAATTCACGGAGCTTATTCGCAAACCTCGGTGGCATACCTTACTGGAAGGTTCAACACTTTCAGCCGTCGGATGTAGGTCGAAATCGACGGGCAGGATTGATTGAGAAAGCAAAAACGACTAACACATTAAATGTTATACGACAGGAACATTGCACGAGGACAGTATGGATAAACAACATGGTTGAATTCAAATTTTGAACTGAGGGGGCAACACGACGAGGTGGTCGAAAAGGTTTATCTCTGAGCGAAGAGAGCTCGAACATTGTGGTCGAAGAACAACAGACGTGAGTTTAAGTTTTCAAATTCAAGACTTCGGGGAGAGGTCAAAAAATTCTATTAAAGTATAATGAAAGTCCCAATAAGCAGGTCGAGAGATATCAAAGGAATGTTAACATTGAAAAATAAGGAGCAAAGAAATCTACTCTAGGAATCAAGGGTCATTTGGTTCTCCACCTCAGTGGCAGGTCATTTGGTTTTTGACCTCATTAGAAGGCCATTCGATTTTCGACCTTAATTTTGCGTTAGGTCATTCGGTTTTTGACCTCATTGGAAGGTCATTTGGTTTTTTACCTCATTAGCATGTCATTTGCTTTTCAACCCCTTTTGGCAGGACATTCGAATTTCTACCTCATCGGCAGGTCATTTGGTTTTCAACCTGAATGTGGCTTCAGGTCATTCGATTTTCTACCCCATTTGGCTAGACATTCGGTTTTCTACCTCATTGGGGGGCCAGTCGGTTTTTGACCTCATTGGAAGATCATTCGATTTTTTACCTCATCGGCAGGTTATTCGGTTTTCGACCTCAGTGGGAGGTCATTCAGTTTTCGACTTTAGTGGCAGATCATTCGGTTCTCGACCTCAGTGGCAGGTCATTCGGTTCTCGACTCAGTGACAACTCTTTGTTATTTAGTGGTCATTAGATTCATTTGATGGTCATTCAGATTATTCGGAAGTCATGCAGATCATGCGATATTCATTTGGTGGTCGATGATTTATTCAAATTATAACCTTAGTGGCAGGTTGACGGAAACAACCAGAAGATGCATTTCACTCTTAGATCGAGTTATGCTCACTGGACCAGAGTGGGGGAGGGGGGGTTGATGATATAGATTATCATACTAGACCGATTTTAATGGATAAGAAGAAATATACCAAGGAATAAACTTGCACATAGGCTAGGACACATGTCATAATGATATTGGTCAAGCCAAACTTGTCACTAAGGTACACCGTCAAGAGGCCTAAGGTATTCCAAAAACACATTTTCTCTCATTCACTACTATACTCTCATACTGCACTTTATAACTTACTTTTTCTTTTTAAAAAGACAAAGTTCTACAGAATATATAAAAAGTCCCATTAAAATATCATATAAATTGTAGCTTTAAAACTGTTATGAATTATTAAAAGATCAATATTCAAAAATTTAATAGAAGAATTTTGATTCATAAGATTTAAACTCTGTAAGTTAAAGAGACAACATAGTCCAACATCACGTACTCAAATAAATTTAATAATTTTAAAAAATCAAACATCATAAATCAAAGTGGGATAATATTTAATAATTTTTTAGATACGTTTAAAAATAGTTTAGAAAAGTTTAGGTAATTTCACATTTTATTTAGAATAATGTAGAACATTTTAAACATTTTATACATGTTATATATTATTTTACATATTTTTACACATGTTTTATAACATTTTAGATGTTGTTAATAATTTATATAGATATGTTTTATGATATTTTTCAAAAGTTAATTTTCGTAAGATATTTTCAACAAATTAATATATTATATTACATATTGACTCTATATTTTTTATTTGTAAATATTATTTATCAAGACAACAGAGTATCGACTTTAGTAACTCATTTTCGTATTTATCTAACTATCATATAATTTGTGGTATATGATAATTCCATATTATGTTGTCGGTCTAAATAATATTAAACCAACTAATGATGTTGAATCCACACAAATAATACGACTTTACACTTTTCAAAACTAGTACGTAACCCGTACGATGCACGAGATGTAAAATTTGGAAGAATAATATAACCTCACATGCATTAGGATCGAAATTGAAATCATTAAAATACATAGGAACATTGTTGAATCATAGAAAGTTCGGTAACAATCATATATTATTAAAAACCTCCTTGTACACAATATTATGAGTTTGATTATTTGGTAACTCCTCATTATCACAAACTAATATTTTCAAAAGAGACAAATCCTAAAAATCAAACTAATATTTTTGGTGAACAAACTAATATTTTAGGATTGGTGAACAAACTAATGTTTTAGGATTTCTAGGATTTGTCTCTTTTTTTGAACAAACTAATATTTTAGGATTGGTTATATGAATAAGGCTGCCTGTTTTTTGTGTGTTTTTCATTCATTTTCATTCAAACAATCCGATGACTTGTATAATGAAATCCGAATCTTAAGCCGAAATATTTTAAAAAAGAGTTTTTAAAAATTGAAAAGTCAAGGCAATCAGTTCAGATTAATTAAAGGTCAAAGAATATCCACTCCTTGAAATAAAGACGTGTGCTATCATTAACCAAATATCCGGTTATTGATATAGAGTGGTTACCAAAAAATAGAACACGATAAGGACGCTTCATGGAAATATCAATGGGATAAGGTCATAACAGATCGCTATACATTTTAACGATAAAAGCTCAGATGGAATGATTTATGATAATTATGTCGTAATTAATGAATTAATTAGAAGTGTGAAAAGGACATAATTAATGAGAAGTTTGAAAAATGACATAATTAATGAAAAGTGTGAAAATGACATAATTAATGAAAAGTGTGAAAAGGACAAAAACTTACCAGTTTTGAAAAATATTTAATGCAAATCCGTTGACCATAATTTGACCTACTATTTTGGATAAATGTTAATTCTTATTATATAAGTATAGATATGTTCATTATTTTTCATCGTATCTAAATATCATATATTTATTAAATATATATATATATATATATATTTAAAAAGCATGACGATTGATATAATTAATTTTATTATATATCATGTGTTGGATTATTATCGTTTGGTTAAAGACACACATTATTTTCAAATAAATAATATATAATTTTGCATATTTTGTATTTCGTTCCTTGTAACTAGTACATAGCCCGTGCGATGCACGGGGGTACACAATTTTAAGGCTATTTATCCATGCTTATAATTATATACATGAATAAAGAAAAATGTACAGGATATATATAGTACGTGACCCGTGCAAAGCACGAGATATATTTATTTGGAGAATATTATATTATAAGATGCAATATTCAATACAGGTTTATAATACGCAAGAAATTGTACAATGTTCAATAAAAGTTTTATATTATTCAAGTGGAGTCTTAAAGTCTCTTGTACATTAAGACTACTAACAAAATAATATTTTAATCAATGAGTTTTCTTTCCTTGTAGCCAAATTGTGAATGTGATTTGAGGAGTACAACAAATCGATATATAGCTGACTTGCTTTACTCATTGTAGTTTTTTTTTTTTATAATGAATTTAAAGATATTCTAAAATATAGCAAAAATTAATTTTTTTTATTACAATTAGGAATTTTACTAAATATAAACTCTCAATCTATGGTGTTAATCAACGTTTAAGTCTAAAAAATTAGGAATTTTTACCTCTTTTAATCAACGTTTAGAGTTATTATAAGTTTTTTTTTCTACATCTTTTAAAACATTAAATATGAGCATGTTAAGGCTAGCTTGTAAAATAATTAATATATTATCTCACTAAAACATTTATACTAATAAAAATTTAATTTTAGCATATAAATTTATCCCTTGATATAAGAGAAAGTAACAGTTTTACTTATTGTTGTTCACCATATAATATTTAATTATTATTTTATTATATAATAAAAAAGAAATATTGTTAAATAGTGTAGTAGAATTGTTATAAAATTATATGAATTTTTTTTTTTACAATATGGATTTAATATTTTTTTATGATTTGATAATATAAACAAATCTATACTTAACTTTGACAAATAAAACAAATAAATACTTTAGTAAGTATTTAATGTATATACTAAATAGGAATATATTTGGTATAATCAAATACCAAATATAATCAAATAAGTCAAAGTGTACATTTTTATTTGGTATTTGATTTTTTTATTATTAAAATCTTTTTATTATACTTACCTTTTTAAAATAAAATAAATAAATAAATCAATTAAATAAATAAAATATTATAATACCAAAATAGTAATGACATTTAATGCAGTTGACTTTTCTGGATAGTAAATGTAGTAAATATAATATTCTTTTATATAGTATAATATGGAAATAGTAATGCAATAAATGCTGTTGACTTTTCTGGCTACTTAATTTGGTAAATAGTACTCCCTTTGATATAAATATAGATAATGAAATATTAAATAATAAAATTGATTATTTATGAATAAGACTTTAAAAAAAAAATTAAGTAACACGTCACGATATACGCACTAATTACTAATATTATACACAAAGGTACCCGACCAATCCCACTCCTTTATTTCTTCGGTCCCCCTTCTTTTTGAAACAATATATCTTAGGGAGATTCTACAGTCCCGTTACGGAACCATTCCATCGGGATTGGTAACCGTTAGATCAACTCCCCACGACGGTTACATGATAATCTAACGGTTACAAATCCCGACGGAATGGTTCCGTAACATTTCCCTATATCTTATTAAAGATGCCCGACCAATTCCATTCCCTTATTAAAATAACTCTCCCCTTCACACCAAAATCTCAAATCTCTCTCCAATTTCTTCTCCAAATAAAAAAAGGGAAACTGAAAAAGAACTTCATTTCAATGCAGGGAACCCTAAGCCTCCCCTCCAAACACTCCCTCCCCACCCAGCCATCGCGCCGCCGCACTGCGTCCGTGCGCGCCTCCATAGCGGAGGTGGCGCCGCCGTCGGACGCCGCGGGAAGGAGCCTGTACGAGGTCCTCCGGATCAGGCGCAACGCGTCGCCGGTGGAGATCAAGACGGCGTACCGCACGCTTGCCAAGCTGTACCATCCCGACGCGACCTCGCGTTTCATGGAATCGCCGCCGGCCACATCCGATTTCATCGAGATCCACAACGCCTACGCGACCTTGTCGGATCCTGATGCCAGAGCGGAGTACGATATTAATCTGAAAGTTGGCTCCGGGTATCGGAGCTCCGGGAGAGGGAGATTCAACCCGACCCGGAAATGGGAGACGGATCAATGCTGGTGACATTTGTATAAGCTTTGCTAATTTTGTATGTAAAAAAAGAAAAGTAAAATGGTTGTGTAAATTAGTTCCTCCATCTTGTTTTACCCATCAATTTTCAATTTTTAGTGGAAATTCATGGCATAGCTTTCTTTTTTCCCCCTCTTTTTTGGGTTTTTGGGGCTCGGTTCAATTTACCTTTTGCATATTATAATAATATTAGTAGACGTTGTCACGTTGATTGGTTGAGCTCCATACGCTGTTCAACCAAAATTCAGTAACGGAACCCACTTGTATATAATTAACTAATGAAATGATATTCAACTCCTTGGATTGCAACCCTTCATGAATGATTAGGGTGATGATGTGTAGTGATTGGCCAAAAACTGCAATTTGGTAAGACTTGTATATTTTAAGATTTTTTATGTATACTCTAAAACAAAATTCACTCTCCATCAAATATTTTTTTCTATAAAAAGTGTTTGAGACAATCTTGGCTGGCAGCGGCATAGCTGCGACTGTTTTTCATCATGGTTTGTTATAACTGTTATAAATAAGTGGAATGAACCACTATGAATAGTGACATTTCACTATTTGAATAAATGGGAATAGTAATAGATATGAATGTGGTGTAAATTATTATATGTTATGTCGGGAAAGTTTGCCTATAAAAGGCACCCGAAATGCAATGAAAATGTACAGAAGGAAGAAGAAAATTGAGTATAAGTGATATCCAGTTTCTATATTGTGTTCTTTATCTTTCCGTCTTTATAACACGTTATCAGCACGAACGCTCTACCCGGTCCGAAAGGTAGGAATATACTAATATGTATATACATTACATAAAATCAGTATATTTTACTAATCTACATATTACCATTATTTTTGACAAGTACGGCTCTGCCATAGTCAAGAATATGTGGTATGAATATACTAAATATAACATTATACTAATTTACATATTACCATTATTATTGGCAAGTACGGCTCTGCCATAGTCAATAATATGTGGTAAGTTGATATTATCAAATTTACTTATGGATTACTAATGATTAAGAAATGACTTCATGTTATAATTAAAAATATATAATATTATTACTTGTAATTCACACCCGCAAAAGGGTTTACCCAGTAATGTGGTGTGAAATTTATAACTGCTTATATTTGTACCCACCGAAAGATTTATCGAGTAGTGTGGAGTGACATTTTTATTTGTTTTGACACTTATATTCATTAAATTGTTCACATAGTGACTCGATGAATTTTTAAGACAATATACATGATTAATTAGTATTTTATAATCATGAATGATTAACTAACAAATATTATATCATTAATTTGTTCCCAACGGCTACATAACGGCTATATTGCAACGGCTACTTATCAACTTATATATATACCACACTACACTTCATATATTAACACTCATTTCAAATACTAAAATATATTTCCCTCAAACGAAAAAAAATGTTTCATCTACTATTTATAATTACCATTATATTGTTTATTTTTTACACTTTGGGAATTTTCACGATGATGTATCATACCACTGAATTTATACTTTATGTATTAGGTTTTTGTATGATGTGTCTCTTATTTGTTTTTCTGTACGTTATGGAGAATTAATGATTGTATAATGTAATTTTCTCTAATATAAGCATTGATGTTTTTTTTATAGTTATCATGGCAAATCTGGTCAAACTTGAATTTGAGGCTCTTGACATTTCGGGAAAAAATTATATTTCATGGACACTGGATGCCGAAATTCATTTGGCCGCGAGGGGATTGAGAGAAACAATAATCTCCCCAAATAATTCATCAATACAAGATAAAGCTAAAGCAATGATATTTCTGCGGCATCATTTAAATGAGGGATTGAAAAATGAATACTTAACTGTAAAAGATCCTGCGGATCTTTGAAAAGCTTTGAAAGAAAGATACGATCATCAGAAAACAGTAATTCTCCCCCGGGCTCGTTATGAATGGATGCACTTACGCTTCCAAGATTTTAAAACTGTAAACGAGTTCAATTCAGCCATGTTCCGCATTTGCTCGGTATTGAAATTATGCGGGGAAAACGTAACTGATTACGATATGCTTGAAAAAACGTTGTCCACATTCCACGCTTCAAACGTACTTTTGCAGCAACAATACAGAGCAAAAGGCTTTGTGAAATATTCTGAGCTGATTTCTTGCTTGTTGCTAGCCGAACAAAATAATGAGCTGTTGATGAAAAATCATGAATCTAGACCCACGGGGTCTACTGCGATCCCTGAAATAAATGATGTAATATCTAAACAGGGAACCGGAAATCAAAACAGCCAAACAAATGTGCGCGAATATACCTCGGGACGTGGCCGTGGTCGTGGACGTGGACGTGGCCGTGGATATGGTCCAGATAGAAATTATGGACGAGGCCGAAATTTTTTCCCAGGATACAAATCTGGCCGAGGTAATTATCATGGACATGGAAAAAATGATTTTCATAAACATTCTGAAAATAATAAAGGGGATAACGATGAAAAGGCATGCTATCGATGTGGTAGAAATAACCATTGGGCTCGAAATTGTCGAGCCCCAAGGCACGAGGTTGAAAAATACCAAGATTCCCAGAAATTAAAAGATAAGAATATAGAAACTAATTTTATGGTTGGGGAATCCTCTGAAAATGATGCAACGCGTGTGGATGATGACTATGGCATCGATGACATATTGAAACTGGATTTTGCCGATGCGGCATTTGAAGACGGAGCTGGAAATGACCTAGAGAATAACTGATGATCATGTTTTTATTTTGCTTTTTGAGTTGTAATGTATTTGTGTATGAGCTACTTGTATCTGTACTTTGAATTTGATCAATAATAAATGTTGTTTTTCTTTTAGATCATGGATCGGTCTCGAATTCAAGATGGAGATATATGTATTGCAGATTGTGCTACTACTCATACTATCCTCAAGGACAAAAAATATTTTGTGAACTTGAAATTAAATGAAGCAAAAGTAAACACAATATCCGGAAGTGCAAAGATAATTGAAGGTTTTGGAAAAGCCATATTTTTTATGATGGGCGGTACAAAATTTATATTAAGTGATGCACTATTCTCCCCAAAATCAACAAGAAATTTGTTGAGTTTTAAAGATATCCGAACGAACGGATACCACATTGAAACGATGAATAAAGGGGGAGTTGAATATCTTTGCATTACCTCAGATAACGCGGGAAATAAATGTGTTTTGGAGAAGTTACCCGCTTTATCCTCGGGTTTGTATTATACCTGGATTAATATAATTGAGGCATATGCTGCAACAAATTCAAAGTCGAATGAAATATTTAAACTTTGGCATGATCGACTTGGTCACCCTGGCTCGATAATGATGCGACGAATTATTGAAAATTCTAGTGGCCATCCACTAAAAAATGAGAGGATATTGCAAACACATGAGTTGACATGTGCCTCTTCTTCTCAAGGGAAATTGATAATGAGACCATCACATACTAAAGTCGGACATGAATCACCATTATTTTTAGAAAGGATTCATGGTGATATATGTGGACCTATTCATCCACCTTGTGGTCCATTCAGATATTTTATGGTGTTGATTGATGCCTCTAGTAGATGGTCTCACGTAAGTTTATTATCCACTAGAAATATGGCATTTGCTAAATTACTTGCCCAACTTATTAAATTAAGGGCTCAATTCCCAGATTATATTATCAAGAGAGTCAGACTGGATAATGCTGGAGAGTTTACATCTCAAGCATTTAATGATTATTGTATGGCTGTGGGAATTGATGTTGAACATCCTGTGGCACATGTTCACACTCAAAATGGTCTAGCAGAATCACTTATTAAACGACTGCAGCTTATAGCTAGCCCATTGATAATGAGAACAAAACTCCCCACTTCAGTATGGGGACATGCTATTCTGCATGCAGATGATCTAATTCGAATAAGACCAAGTGCATACCATACATTCTCGCCATTACAGTTGGCATATGGTCGAGTACCAAATATTGCACATATAAGAGTTTTTGGTTGTGCAGTATATGTGCCAATTGCTCCGCCACAACGTACAAAAATGGGGCCTCAAAGAAGGTTGGGAATATATGTTGGATATGAATCTCCATCAATAATCAAATACCTTGAGCCAAAAACAGGTGATGTTTTTACAGCTCGTTTTGATGATTGTCATTTTAATGAAGAATTGTTTCCCCCTTTAGGTGGGAATGAAAAGTCAATTGAGAGAAATATTGAATGGAGAACATCCGCATTATCATATCTTGATCCTCCCACCAAACAAAGAGAGCAAGAAATTCAAAAGATCATACATTTGCAGAATATTGCAAATCAATTGCCAGATGCATTTACTGATTTAAAAAGGGTGACCAAATCACATGTGGTAGCCGTAAATGCCCCTGCTCGAATTGAGATTCCAAAAGAAATGGCAAATGACGATAAGCAAAATGAGTCAAAGACACGCTTGAAACGAGGAAGACCAGTCGGGTCTAAAGATAAGAATCCTCGAAAGAAAAGAGAAATTCTTGACTCCAATTTGAAAAGGAATCAAGATGATGGAAAAATTTCGGGACAAAATGAAAATATTGAGATTTCCATCAATTACGTGAACAATGGGAATCTTTGGAAGCGTGATGAGATCATGAATAATGATGATGCATTCGCATATATGGTATCAAAAGAAATTGATAATGAAGTTGAGGATCCTGAACCAAAATCTGTAGCTGAATGTCAGAAAAGACGTGACTGGGATAAATGGAAAGGCGCCATTGAAGCCGAGTTAGATTCACTAAATAAACGAAAAGTTTTTGGGCCTATTTCCATTATACCAAAAGGCATAAAACCCATTGGATACAAATGAGTTTTCACCAGAAAAAGAAATGAGAATAATGAGATCACGAGATATAAAGCTCGCCTTGTTGCACAGGGATTCTCCCAAAGGCCTGGGATCGATTATGATGAAACATATTCCCCTGTCATGGATGCAATTACTTTCAGATACTTGAT